TGGTGAGGAAAAGGGTAATAAATAAAAAGCAGATATGGGAACAACAAATTAAAAAGTTGAAAAGCCCTCGGGCTAACTACTTGCTTCTGGAATTAAGCTTCCTTTTTTTATGTTTTGAAGCTCTCAAGGCTTTTATTCAAAAACTGTTTAGAATGTTTTTGGTTTGTTCAAAGGCTTTGCTTGTCTGTCTGTTATTGTTTGTCTGGGAGTACTCGATTTGGCCCAGCAGCCTGATTTCTTCAGGATCGGGTTATCTTTGGAGACCAGCTGGCTTTCGTTCAATTCCCTTTGGAACAGGGGCTATTTCTACTGAAATTAGTGAGCTTCTGGTTCAGTATTAAACAGGATTGTCTCACTGAAAAAGTGCCACTCGGCCTACATTACATCCAGGCTCTTCAGAGAGCAGGTTATTTCCTAGAACTGGCTTTTTTTTACATTGTTCAAGTACATTTGTCTCCATTTTCCCGCCACCACTTTCCCCTGCCCCACCCGCCCCCACCACCCTCCCTCAATCCTTCCCCACTTTGGCTTTGTCCATGGGTCCTTTATACATGTCCCTTGATTTGACCGTTCCCCTTCTTTTCCCCATTGCCCCCCTTCCTCCTTCCCTCTCGTTACTGTCAGTTTGTTTTTCCTTTCAGTGTTGCTGGTTATATTTTTCTTGTTTGTTTTGTTGATTAGGTTCCACTTATAGGTGAGGTCCTATGGTATTTGTCTTTCACCGCCTGATTTATTTCACTTAGCATAATACTTTCCAGGTCCACCCATGCTGTCGAGAAGGGTAGGAGCTCCTTCTTTCTTTCTGCTGCGTAGTATTCCATTGTGTAAACGTACCACCGTTTTTTGATCCACTCATTTACTGATGGGCACTTAGGTTGCTTCCAGCATTTGAATATTGTAAATTGTGCTGCTATGAACATTGGGGTGCACAGGTTCTTTTGAATTGGTGTTTTGGGATTCTTAGTGTATAATCCCAGCAGTGGAATCGCTGGGTCAAAAGGCATGGAACTGGCTTTTTAAGCCTTCAGCCTGATCCTTCCATGATCAGACTGTTCTAGAGCAAGGCTGGCTGATTTCTATCCCACAGGTTACTTGAGCTCTTGTAGACTGCTTTGGGCCCCTTGCTCTAGAGAAAAGTCTCTGAAAAATGGGATCTCAGTTATTTAATATTTTAAGACCATCCCTGCTCCAGGGACTCTAACACTTCTCGTGCACATATTTAACTAAATGGACAGATCTGACCAACAGTAATTCAGAAAATCAGTGGCCATTGTGGAGAACTTCGGAGATTCCCAAACTTCATTTTCTTAAAACTGAACCAGACAATAACAGCACTAAAATTGGCAATGCTGAGGGGAATGCCTATTTTTAATGCTGTTTTGAGGCTTCCAAATGGGACCAAGAATATGAAATTGCCTTTTTGCAAAAGAAAGTTTTAGAATTAACAGAAGTTACTGAACTTTTAAAGAGAGAAAAATGGCTTCCCCTATATTCTTTAGGGGAAAGGGGCTGTCGTGCCCTTTCCCTCTACTCCACTGTCTCAGGGTCTATCTCCGGGTACCCTATTCTATGGATACTTTGCCATAGGCTTCTTCTCCAGCATCCTCTAGCTCTTTTTCTCCAATTCCTTTACTGCAAGCTTCACCTCTGATACCATGTGGCCTTCACTACCAGCTTCCATACCCCCAGTTCACCTCTGGTGCCATCTGCCCCTGAATCCTCTCCCACTCCTTCCTCCTCAGCCTATCAGGACCTTTCAATTTAAAGTTAAGCCCTCTGGGGATCCTAACAAACCTCAAGTTTCATATGTTCCCTAGAGTTAAGACTTTCTCCTAAGGTTGAGGATCCTCATGAGTTTGCTAAGGAATTTGATATTGTTATTCAGACCTATTATCCTGGGTTTTCTGATTTATATCAGCTAATTCATGTTAGCTGGTGAAGACCATTGGATGAGAATTGCCCAGTGGGAACAGCCTGAAACAGATTTAGAGAAACAAGCCTCTAATTCTGGGGGGAGAAATTAGAGAACTCGCTAGAGAACACAAAGCAATTCCTAAGGCTTTTCCAAACCCTATTGACTGTAGCAAAACTCAGACTTGCTCACAAGTCTGACGAATCTGTTCATGACTATTATAATCGACTAAAGGTCATTTTAAAGGAAAATTCTGGCCTTCCTTCAGACGTTGATTTTACTCAGGTAACCTTTAACTTCACTGTTTGTTAGTGGGCTGGATGGAGACCTTTCTCTTTTAGTTAAGAGGACTGGGAAGGAATGGGAGACCATGTCCACCCTAGATTTAGTTAATTTGGCTAAATCACCTTGCTCATACACTAGATGGGCCGCCTAGAGCTGACGCTGCCATGATTTTTAACTTTTAGCCCTGGCAAATGAAAGCCCCTATACCAAAGCAAAAGACTCCCAGTTTCCACCGTTTTTGCAAAGAGCCAGGATGTTGGAAAAGGGATTATCACAAGTTTAACTGCTTTAGTTGCCCTCAGCCTTGTAATCAGTCTTCTAGCCAGCCTTCCAAGGGCCTCTTAATCCTCAGTGATGGGGCTCCAAGGAACTACAGGAGCTTTCCAATCCTCCCTCTTAATCCGTTTGGGTCGGCTTGAAGAAACTTTTCTTCAAATTGATCATGAATCTCTCTTAGGACAAAACTTCTGTATGTTTTACTAAAAATTGACAGTCCTGACCCAATTTTATAGGAAGAATGGGAGAACATACCCTTTAAAGCCTTAAAGAAGATTTTAATAAACCCACCTGCTCTTGGACATCTCAACTATCAGATCCCCCTTTTCCTTTTGGTATATGAAAAGAAAGGGAATGCCCTTGGGATATTCACCCAAAAGACATGGGGACCACCAGAGACCCCTAGGATACTGTAGTTGGCAGCCGGACCCTGGATATCCCCTTTGTCTTAGAGCCACTACTGCCACTAAGGACATGGTTGCGGGACCCCCTCTAACCATCTTCTTACCCCATGCAGGAGAAACCCTCCTGAGTCCTCGCCATACCCAGCATGTTTTGGTTAGTCACCTTACTTCCTATGAAATCCTTCTACTAACTTCTCTTCATGCAACTCTTTTGCATCGTAATAACATTAATCCAGCTACTCTTCTCCCTTCTGAGACCAATGAAGCCCCTCATAATTGCTTGGCGCTGACAGATCACCTCCTGAGTCCTTGCCATGATGATTTGCAGAAGACTCCTCTGGGTTAAACTGTTTCCTCATGGTTTCCAGATGATTCGTGTTTTAGAAATAAAATTGGAAAGTACTGTACTGATTATGCAATTGAAGTCACTGAGGCATTTTTACCTTTGACTACTTCAACCCAGCAGGCCGAATTGTATGCTTTCATTCAGGCTTGCATTTTAGCCAAGGGCAAAGCTGCCAGCATTTCTACTGAAGTCCATATGCTTTTGGAGTAGCTCATGACTTTGGAATGCTATGGAAGCTATGTGGCTTTCTTACTTCCAATGGAAATAAAACGAAAAATGGCCCTTGCGTTCAGGAATTATTAGATGCCTATACTTTTACATGATGCTTTAGCTATATTAAGATGCTGGGGTGGGGCACTTTAAACTTGACTCTCCGGAAGCTAAAGGAAATCACCTTGCTGATGCTTCTGCAAGGAATGCTGCCCTCAAAGGCATCGGCAGCACTCAAACCCCTAACATGGTCCAAAGGGATATTTCCACAGCTGATAATGTAGAAAAAAATGGCTAGAGAAGCCCAACAATTGGTTTCAGAAGAAAAAACAAACATGATTGGAAATCCAATCATTGCTGGTTTGACACCAATTGAAGTTTGAAACTTCAGAGACTCTGAAGTTTCCACTCATAACTACTGTATATGTATGAAACTATTGGTCCACTGACAAAATGATAGCATTTATGCATCAATATTGGTGGGAAAATATTAATAAGGCTGTGAAAAGTGCCTGCGTTACTTGATCTACCTGTCAAACATACAACCCGGGGAAGCCTTTCTGCACAGCCCCTGAACATTTTTAATTGCCTAATGGACCATTTGAGGTGTGACAAATAGATTCATATGGCCTCTCTCCCTCCCCCCATCTCACGGATAGAAATGTTTTAGTCATGGTCTATGTTTTTTCACTAGACTGAAACTTTCCCCTGTAGACAGGTTACTGCCTCCTGGTGGCTAAAGTCGTTAGAGAAGATTATCCTCACCTGGGGAATTCCTCTTGCACAGTTCCTCTTGACCTAGGAACCCACTGTATGGGTCAGGTGCTTCAACAAGTCTGTACCGGTTGGCCAGTTTTACAACACCCTTAATTATGAGGTTCATGCGGTCTTAAGGTTGGATTTCAAAAACCATTAATAATTACCTTTAAATGCCAAACGAAAGGAAAATTTCATCATCAGGGTGGCGTGTCCACCTGTACAGACTATAAAAGTTGCATGATCTGCTCAGCTCTCCATACTCCTATTTTATTCTCCCAGCTGCCTTGCTGTTCAGCGACCAGGTAAGTGCGCTTTCAGTGCTACCTGGACCTCTTTCTGTTTCCTTTCAGAATGCCGTGAAAGATAATGGACTAGCGAGAAAGGGGGTTCATGCTACCGAAAGTACTACCAGTAACTTAGAGACTAGAAGCTGTAGTTAGATTTCTTTAACACCCCAGGCTACAGAGTGCGGACCAGATGCATAAAAAGTGAAAAATCTCAAAATTACTAATTAAGGAGTTTGGCTTCAGGACTATCTCCTAATAGATGTACTCTAAGGACAGACATTTAACATACTGTCTAAGATTCTTTTTAAAACATGTTTGCAGACACTGGTGCGGTTCCCACAGTCCCCACTCCCTCTCTTCTCCTCCTTCCCCTCTTTTACTCGCCCCCAGTCAGTCCCCACTCCTCAGGCTTTTCTTTACTATCTCCCACCTATGCCAAAGAAACAGCCCAATGGCACTGCACCATTTCAGCTTTTTGGTAAGTTCATTTCTTTTTCAACTTACAGGACACCAAGATAAGTGCCAAAATGTCTTCCAATGACCTGAAGACCATTTTTGAAAAATACGCAGCCAAAGAAGGTGATCCAAACCAGCTGTCGAAGGAGGAGCTGAGGCTACTGATTCAGAACGAATTCCCCACTCTTCTAAAAGTGAGTGCACAACTACAGAGCCCCCTGAACTGGGCCTCTGAGGGTGGGAGGGCAGGGGAGGAGAGGCAAGAGGAGAGGACCCAGGAAGAGGCTGAGGTTCAGGATGCTGATCAGAGCTCAGTCTGGGGCAGAACACACAGCGGCCAAGGCACAGGCGTTACTTGAGGGAAAGCACTTAATGTGTGCTTTCCATCCCTGCTGGCAGACCACATTTCACATGGCAAGCTCCTAGAAAGCAGAGAGCCAGTCTCCTCTCCCCCACAGCCTTAGCACAGAACTCTCCAGACTAGCTGTAGTAAATGGAAGCAGGGGTGGCACTTGTACCAAGGCAGGCCTGGAAGATGCACAGGTTGCCACGCAAAGACACAAAGACCTTCAGCCTGGATTCAGCACGGCCGTGCCAAGCTTTAGGAAAACAGAGGTCGGTAAATTGATGTTAGTTGGCCTCGGACGCGCTTCATCATTATAGGTAGTACCTCTCAACAAGCCCAACACTTACTTGGCAGTCTGTTAAAAAACAAAACAAAACAAAACAAAACAAAACCCCGCTTCCAGCCAACAATTGGAAGCAATCTTCAAAATAGAAGGGCTATAATTGATACATTCAACTTGGTGACTTGTTAGCTGTAACTTCAGAAGAAAGCATGTGCTTTCTAGGTTTTAACCACAAATGTCCCTTCTGCCAATATGACATGTGAAAAGGTTTCTGGTTTTAGTGGTTGAGACAATTTCTATTTTTAATACAAAAAAGAAAAGCAGCTGAATTCAATGCATTTGTAATCCAGTATCTTCTCATTTTCTTATGGTTAAAATATAAAAGAACTTTACAAACAGTTAAAGGCAAAAAAAGAAAAGAAAAAAAAAGAAAAACAGTTAAAGGCACTGGCAGAAAATAGAGACCTTTTAATTGAAAATTAAAACAAAGGTTTTGGAGAAAAAAATAAATTCTAAAACAAGATACTTAATTTTTTCCAAAAAATAGAAAAATAATATGAAGGAATATAATAAAAGAAAGAAAAAAATCTGACAGGAGAGCCTAGGCAATCTAACAAGTTTGCTTTAAAAGATAAGACTGGTAGAATTTTATAAATTTTTCTATACTTTATGTATTTCCTATAAAAAGCACACATGACTGTTGTCATTTGAATAGAGGCAGGACTACTAATGGTAAGTTTTGAAAAATCTACTTACCAAGTCATGTACCTGATTATATTTCCATAAGGATTACTAAGGTTTAGAATCTAGTGACGACTTAGGAAAATAGCATTTGATAATTATAAAACAGATACTGAACAACTAACTTACAGTTTGGTCTTGTGATTGTAGCAAAGCACCAAGTGTCTTTGTAAAAAAAATTAAGGGTTAAAACATATCTTGATGTATAGGTCTGTTGCACAACAGTATGGGACATAGTTAACACTACTGAAATGTATACTTAAAAATAGTTAAGATGCTTAATGTTATGTTATGTGTTTTTTACCACAGTTCAAAAGAAAAATTTTTTTGGAGCTGACGTAAAAACCACACTGTTATTTCAAGAGGTTTCCTAAGTACTATTTTGCCACAGTTAGACTCCTACCTGAAAGTCAGCTGTAATGGCTTTAGGATTTGGGTTTCATGGCAGAGACAAACATTCAGTCTGCTTACGACACTACAGGGGCATCAGTAGTCAAAGGGAGTCAAGGAGCCCGCACATGAGCTCATGTAACATCTCTAGCGCTGGTGCTCCGAGCGTGGCTGGGCTTGGACCAGCAACAGCAACATTGCCTGGGAACAGAATACCAATTCTCAGGCTCCACCCCAGGCCAGGCGAATCAGAAACTCTGGGAGTGGGAACACCAACCTGTATTAACGAAGGTCAGCAAAGCCATCAGATGATTCTGATGTGTGCAAAGTACGAGAACCACTGATCCAAAGTCATCCTGCCTAGCATAGAGGTGGGCTGCAGTCCAGGGTTTGGGAAAACCTAGGGTAGTTACTAGTTAAGGGGTTGGGATCTAGAGTCAAAGTTTGGACCCCAAGTCCTCTACTTACCAGCTGTGGGCCCCAGAGTAAGTCAGCAGCTGTCTCAGACCCTCAGTTTCCTCATCTGTAAAGTGGGTCTTCCCCACAGGGTAGTTGGGAGGATTGCACGAACTACCAGAAGCCCTTCGCACAGTGCCAGCCAGCACTGTGTCTCAGTTATATGCCAGCCCAGCTCTGGGGGCAGACACAAAGCCAGCTCCCAGGACACCGTGAGGCAGCGGTCCTCAACTGTTGGTGGGCTGTGGGTCCCTCAGAAGTCCAGTGAAGCCCTCACACCCCTCAAAAGAATGGTTTTAGAGGCATAAAGGAAAATACCTAAGATTACTAGAAAACTAATAATATTGAAATACACATTATCAATATTAAAATAACAAATGCATGTTATAGAAAATAAAAATGGTAGCCTGTTCTGTGACATGAATCAACATTAGAGCTAAAGTTGGCTTTTCCACCTCTAACTATCAGTAGCATGTGCTCAAAAGCTCAGCCGCCTTCTTAGAATGCAGACACAGTGCCTCTAATTTCGGAGAATGTGTAGCAGTACATAACTGATTCATTTTCTCTCCTCTCCCCATCCCATCCTTTTTTGTCTAACACCAGGGCCCAAACACCCTAGAGGACCTCTTTAAAGAACTGGACAAGAATGGAGACGGAGAAGTTAGCTTCGAGGAATTCCAGGAGTTGCTGAAAAAGATATCCCAGTGAAAGAAAAAGCAAAAGGATATCATTCTGCTCACCCAGAAAAGAGCACCTGGGAAGGGGCCATATTCTACATGGAGTCCCCAATGTCTCTGTTTAAGCCTTTCCAATGATAATGATCTGGCAGTGATAGCCAATTATTGCTAATAAAGAAATTCTTAGACATGCCTCCCCTTGTAAATTACGGACCTTCATAGTTTAATAGATTTGAAAAGAACCTTAGTCTGACGCATCTACTTTTATAGATTAAAAAAAAAAAAAAGTTCCATGATCTTGACCAACACTACAAAGGTGATGCCAGAGACACGGAAAGAATTCTGATGTGAGAAACCAACTTCCTCACCCCTCTCTTGCTCTCCCTTCCTGACTGCTTAGTACTCACATCATTTCCCATTTCAACTCTAGTCAATAGCTAGTGAGAAACAGACTTCAAAGAACAGACACTTGTCTTTAAAGTCATCTCCCAGCACTCACCATGCTTTTTGAATCACTGACCCTCTCAGGGAGTAGAAGGAATACAGGACTAACACTCAGTTCTGCTCTATCACTAAGGGAGTAGCCTCGGTTCTGGTATGTGATGTGTAAAATAAAAGCGACAGGAAACACAGGCCTTTCCCAGCTCTGGCATCCTATGCTGCTGGGACACTGGGTATCTGAGAGACAGCTTGTCCTCAAGTTCCCCTTGCTGGGTCCAGCTGGGACGGGGGGTACGGGAGGAGTGTGGGAGAAGCATTTAACTGGGGTGGGGGGAGAAAACTGACTTCTAACTCTTCCATCTACAAACAAAGGAGATTTTTATACACAGCAAGGGAATGTTTAAATACAATCTGGATCATTCTAATTCAACACACACACATTCTCATGGCATCAAAAGCCTTAAACCTTTCTAATGACTAATTATGTTCCACTGTAGGGATACGCCATAATAGTCTTAACTATTTCCCCATTGTGGGGCATTTAGATTATTGCCATTTCTGATTTTTCTAAATAATGTCATAATGAGTACCTGTTCATATCTCTGTCAACAAATCAGATTTCCCTAGGAGAATTTCTGGGAAGTAAATATCTGAGTCAGAGGGTATGAATATTTTTATGCTTTGTGAAACAGACCACCTAACTGATTTTCCAAAAGGTTGCATTGATTCTTATATCTACAAACAGGCAGGGGAACGACAGCTCCATTCCCCAGACAGCATTAGCTGGTCTCATTTTCACAACTTTATTAGTCACAATAATACATATCTTTTATTCGTTTCTGGTTTTAATAGGAACCTCCTACTATTTCCCAATGAGTTTTCTGTTAGCTACTGGTTTGTAAAAGATATTCTTTTTCATTTAAGAAGTGCACTTTTCAGCCCTGGTCGGGAAGCTCATTTGGTTAGAGCATCATCCTGATACACCAATGCTATGGGTTTGATCTCCAGTCAGGGCACATGCAAGAAACAACCAATGAATGAATGCATCAATAAGTGGAACAACAAATCAATGTCTGTCTGTCTCTCTCTCTGCCCTCTTCCCTTATTCTCTCTCTCTCTAAAATCAATAAATAAAAATTTAAAAAAAGAAGTACCCTTTTCTTCTCAGTTTGTTATGAGATTGTGAGCACCAAGGTTTAGATACTGTCGTCCCCCTATTGAGCATCTGTGGCGATGTGATGGTTCTCCCTTTTGTTTGATCAATTTAATTCCTCAGATACACTATCCAGTCATGATTGATTAATCCTTAATGCTTTGAAATTGGGTACTGTAATATTTTATTTAAGGTTTTTACATCTTTACTAATAACCAACATTATTAGTTTGGGGTTTTACGTTTGGTTGCATGTGGTTTGTTGAATTCTAATATCTAGGTCATGCTGGCTTCCCATTTTAGCCTATGTTCTAATCTCAATCAGCCACTTGCAGAGTAAATATACATGATCTCTTTCAACTCCAACATATACGAAACACCTACTATGGGCATAGCATTATAAAAGATGACTAGAGAAATCCATTTGCACGCCTCTCAGATCCTAAGTCAGTAAGTCTGGGATCGGGCCAGGGAAAGGCTAATGGAAGAGGTGGTATTTCAACTGGGATTTGTAGAAGAACCTTGAAGGGAAGTTGTAGGGAGGGGGAAGCCCAGCCATTCCAAAGGAGAGAAGACATCCCAAATAAACACTTCATGGCCAAGTGCAAGGCAGTCCAGGGAACATACGCACTCCATTCTGGGTGTAAAGCCAGCTATGACAAATAAAGAGGGCACATTGACTTCAGATCATGAGAGTCTTTGGTTGCCATGCTAAACAAAGGTCTACCCAGGCATTTATATCAGGTGCAATACCCCGGCCGCTATATCAAGTGGTTATTGACATTTAAATAAACTAAAATTAAATAAAATTTAAAATTCAGTTCATCAGCCACCCTAGCTACACTTCGAGTGCTTCATAGCCCCATGTGGCTAGTGATTACCATACTGGATGGCACAGGTACAGAACATCCTACCATGGCAGAAAGTTCTTGCTGACAATGCTAGTAGCATTAATGAGAGTGTGCTCATGTACTACCCACATATTTAGTTACATGTTTCACCAGTCTATGTTTTTTTAAAGATTTTATTTATTTATTTTTAGAGAGAGGGGAAGGGACGGAGAGAGGGGGAGAAACATCAATGTGTGTGAGATACATCAATAGGTTGCCTCTTGCAGGCCCCCAACTGGGGACCCAGCCCACAACCCAGGCATGTGCCCTGACTGGGAATCAAACCAGCGACCCTTTGGTTCACAGGCCAGCACCCAATCCACTGAGCCACACCAGCCAGGGCTTACCAGTCTACATTTTGTGTCACCAACTAAACTGCAAGCAGAGTTGTGGCAGCAGGTCATTTGTAATACATTATGTTTAGAACTGCACTTAAGTGGATGAGCTCCAAATGCACAGTGACTTTTTTCTTTTTAATAATCCCTTTCCACCAGCATCCAGTTATTTCTAATGCAAAAAGGAAATCTTTCAAGGGATTGAAATATCTATTCCTAAGGCATTTCCTATTGAGCTCAAGGTATAAAAGCTTTAAAATACATTAGCTTTGAAGTACTCATTTAGTTATTCACTTTTTGTTAAAATTATGGACTACCCTGTGATTCTGTATTTTTATGGACTACCCTGTGATATGTATTGTATACTAATACATATCATAATAATATTGTATACTAATGAGGCTTACTGCTAGTCCTGCTGTTACTTTTCAAAAAGTAGACTCAGGTAAGGGGTGTGGGCGGGGGGGAGACGGGGCAGGAGGAGTCTGGTGGAAAAGGTGCCCTAGCCATTAGACAGTGGCCATTGGAAGAATTTTTCTTTCTCCCGATAGAGATCAGCTACTATGGCCGACAGCCTGATGTCAACTCTGAACCTATCATACCCACAGAGATAGAATTAAATGACTATTGGGATCCCAGACTGGTCCATAAAAGGTTATTTTACCCATAGCATAGCTGTCTTCTTGACAGCTGCTTTTATGGGAAAAGTTCCTTAGCCCAAACTAAGCTCTGAATGATTTCTATATGGTTGTGTGGTTAGTTGGGAGATGTTTACTACAATGTTCTAAATGCAAAGCAGTCTTCAAAGTAATAAAAGTTGCCTCAAAAGTTACTCTAAGTAGCTGTACAGGTTTTTTCTCAACTCTTTTTAATTTGCTTTTCATGTGAAGCTGTTGAAAAATAACATGAAAAAAGAAAATATTTCAAACAGGGCTTCAACTAACAGTAGGAAAATAATGCATTAATTATGCTTAATGAATAACACAAATTACCCTTTGCCTGAGTTGACTTTTAATCATTTGTGACTATTTCACAAATCCGTTGTGTCAGATGTAAAATTAATTTTGACTTTGAAAATCCCTGAATCAAAATGGTATAAAAGAAGTCATACGTATGATAAATAACTAAAGGTGAAATAATATCAAATACCGCAATCTCAAATTTCCACTTGCATCTGCTTAAAATACTCTGAATTTCTCACTTTTCCTTACCAATACCACCATCCAAGTGTGCTATGTGTGAGTTCATGTGTCTGAAGGTGGAACATAGCTTCTGTTTTCAGGATGCTATATCTTATGTAAGTTCAGATTTTTAAAGTTACTGTTTTCAATAAACAGAAAAGAAATGCTAAAAATTAAGCATATCCACATACCTAAACATTAAATTGAGATTCTTTTCCTATATTTTCAAAAACCAAAGATATTCTAATATAAAGCCCCACAATGCCGTGAACTATCCTCTACTTGAACTGGAGAGGTCTCAAGCCAAATTCAAGGTCAAAGGTGTCAGCAGCAGCCATGTGATTGATACAGAATCAGAATGCAAGTCAGCTACAGCTGTGTTCCTAGTTAGCATTATCTAGAAGGCAGGTAAAGCAACTTTGAGACAGGCCAAAGAAAATCAAACTTGCTGTAGAACCCTAAATTTCTGCAAAGTCCCCGAGACTTTTCTTTCACCTTGTAGATTAAGCAGAGAAATGACACAATAAAATACAGTTTGCTCACTCTCTCCTGGTACTCTCAGACTCAGAAAGAGTTTCGCTTCATTCTTAAAGGAAAATCTCTTACTCCTTTTATGTGTATAAGAGACACCTCCTCTTAGATATCTGTCCTGGATGCCAGAGTCTCTAATGATTTCATAAGCAACTATAAGGCTAATCATGCATGCCAAAGCCGGGTCACAATGGCCCATGAAGGGGATCAGAATTTAACATCCCAAAATATGTCTCTTTGACATAAGGATTAGTTTAAGCTGATTACTTTAAAGAAACAGCAGGCACAAAAGCTCTGAAAATTGAGTAAAAGTTATCCTTTTGTAAGAGACACTTACATTTATCTATTTCTAAGGGAAATATCTATTTGTAAGGGTGTCTCCCTCTTTGTACCAGGAATAGGAGGTGACTCTAAATCTCTAGAAACTCTTATCAAAGGAGAAGGAGGGGGACTTAAATCTGCATAACAACCTTATCCTTGTTTTCTTCTTTTCTCATCACCTCCCATAACTGATTCCTCCACCTCTCAACAACTTCTTTTGTCTTTAGCTGGAGATGGTATTTAAGGTCATAGCCTGGGCCATTTCAGGGAGTTACACCGTTTTCCTGGGTCTCTCCCCTGTGCACAGGAGGTATCCATGCCACTAAACTTTGTTTTTCTCCTGGTAATCTGTCTTTGATTACAGGGAGGGGTCTCAGCCAAAAATTTAGAAGAACAGAGGAAAAATCATTTTTCCTCTACCATACCCATGAAACAGACTTCAGTAGCAAATACACCTAAAAGAAGCTCCTGGTTTCCAAATTATTAACTTTTTTTTTTTTTTTTAGCTGGAAGGACCAGAATGGCCATTACGCACTGTCAGTCATTGTTACTTGCTCAAGTTTAAGTTATTCCCTAGGCTTCCTGGTGTTTGCTGCCTGGTGATTCTATCACCTTGGTCTTTTTCTTTAATAAGGCTTTTCACCATCATCACAAATGCTGGCTCTTAAGGCTATTTTTCTCCAACAAACTGATTGCAGGCCATAAAGACTTTCAGTAGCAATTAGGTTTTATTGTTCTCATCTCACTTATGAGTGTAGAAGCTTTCAAAATGTAAAACACACATATCCTCTGACTTAGCAATTCCCCTCCTAGGAATTCATCCCTAGGAGTGTGTTTGTGTGGGTACAAGGACATATGTATATGGGTACTAATTTTCAGCATGATTTAAAATAGCAAAATAATGGACACAACCTAAAAATTCATCAGTACTAGACAGGTTAAATAAAGAACGATGCAGACCAGTATGACAAGCATATGGAAGCACAGGGGTGTATTGATGTGGAGTGATCAGTACAAAAGGCAAGAGTGTTTCAAGCATGCTAGCATATGTATTTGTTAAAAAGGAAACACATATCCATATACGCGTATGGGTACGTGGGTATACACAACCAGTAAAGGACAGTCATCAAAGTATGTTGCCAAAGCTAAGTAACAGTGGCACCTACTGGTAAAATCATTTCCTATCCCAAAGTCTTATTGTGAAAAAGAAAACCCATGATTTGCCTATATAGCTACTTCAGCCATTACTCAGAAAATATGTTTATATTAAAGCCTTATAAGGAACTCTTCATTAGTATTAGGTCTTCTGAGCATAAGACTTACGAGTACCATCTGGCTGGGAAGTTATGGTTCATTATGGTCTGAACTGTGAGCTCTAAAAGGAGTAAAGAGTATCTCTACATCCTTCCACAGAATGATCTCAAGCATGTTAAATTAAAAAAACAAGGCAAAAAAATATGCAGAATATGCTATCACTTATTGAAGAAGGGGAGGGGGCTACAAGTAAACATAAATGTTTACTTATATTTTAAAAATGGAAAGATAACCTCCCTCCAAAAATAAGAATTAATGGCTGCCATGAGGGAAGGGAGGGAGTAGGCTGGAAGGGAGAGAAATATAAGTGGATCTCTGTAAATCAGTGGTTGTCAATAGGAGCTATTCTGCCTATGCCCCCAGGGGATGCTTGGCAATGTCTGGAAGCATTTTTTTTAGTGTCACAATTGGCTGCTGGAAGATTTGTACTATTAACATCTAGTAGGTAGGAGCCAAGGAGGCTACCGAACATCCTACAGTGCACAGGACAGTCCCCACCCCAAGAATTAGCCACTCCAAAATGTCAACAGTGAAAATGATATATCTAATAAGAAACTTATTTCTAGAATATGTAAAGAACACTTACAATTTAATAATTAAAAGACAAATAACCTGATTTAAAAATGGGCAAGGGGTCTGAATAGACATTTCTCCAAAGATGATATAGAAATGGTCAATAAGCACATGAAAAGATGCTCAATATCCTAAACCATCAAGGAAATTCAAATCAAAGCCACAGTGAGATACAACTTTATGTCCTCGAGGATGGCTACAGTAAAAAAAGACAGACAATAACAAGTGTTAAGGATGTGGAGAAATTGAAGCCCTCATCCACTGCTGGCGGGAATGTAAAATGTTGCAGCCACTTTTGAAAACAGTCTGGCAATTCCTCAAAAAATTAAATGTACAGTCACCATATATCCACAATTCCACTCCTGGGTATATATACCCACGTGAAATTAAAGCACATGTTCACACAATAACTTGTACACAATATTCATAGCAGCATTACTCATAATAGTCAAAAAGTGAAAACAATCCAAATGTCCATCAATGAATGAGTTTATGAATAAAATGGAGTAGGCCTATATAATGGAATATTATTCATCAATAAAAAGAAAAAAAATACAGATAGATGCTATAACATAGACAGATCTAGACATCTTACGCTAAATGAAAAAAGCCACTCACAAAAGGCCACATATTCTATGAATCTATATGAAATGTCCAGAATAGGCAAACTTGTAGACACAGAAAACAGATTAGTGGTTGCCTAGGGCTGGAGTGTAGAAGGGGGAATATGAGGCTTGGAGATATCAACTAAGGTGTGTGGAGTTTCTTTCAGGGAAAGGAAAATAGTCCCAAATCTATTGAGATGATGGTTGCACAGATCTGTGAATATGCTAAAAGCCACTGAATCATACACTTCAAATGACTAAATTTCATGAAATGTGAATTATGTCTCAAGAAAACCGTTTTTTAAAAACCAGTTACAATAGTGAGGTATGCATTGTGATAGAGGTAGACACAAGGCACAGTAGGGGTTCAGAATGAGTCACCCCAGATATGCGTCTGTCATATGAAGATTGTTTTGAGCTAAAGGCAACTGAGATCCTGCAGGCTCAAGAGAAACTTCTGCCCTCACCCCCTTAACTACCTGGAAGAATTTGAATTTGGGCCCTTGCCCATAACAGATTATCAGAGACAACCTTTTTTTTTTTTTTTTTTTTGACCTATCTATAAGGCAGGGCAAACTACTAATTACTGAACATCTGCTCTTCACATTATGCTCAGAATGACCAGCCTTTCCTCTGAAGCCATAAGGTGCCTTTACCTCATCCTAAGCTCAGGGTGCCAAATACAGGGTCCGGTGGAAGTAAGGCCTGCTTGAGTGTGGTTGGTAGGGTAATAATATGAGTGTAATAATTTGTAGTTGTAATTTCAACATTTCACTTAAAATGTCATAGGGTGTGCTTTAGTGTGATATTGTCATGTCACAGAATTACATGCCTATGATTCTGTAATAAAAGATCTTATAATAAAAAAAGGGGGGCGTTATTTGTGCTGGACCCTTTGCATCTCATTTGCCTTTTCTGTCTCTGAATTTCTTGTGCATGTAGATTCTTACTCTGTCATGTATATGAGGTTCCCATACATATGTATGCAATTAAATGTGGTTATTTTTTCTTGTTAATGTGTCTCATGTTGATTTAATTATTAGAAGAGCCTAAAGAACTTACAGGGTAGAAGAAAATTTCTTCCTTCCCCAAAGCACAAAGGGCAGACGCTGGGAATGGAAGGAGGTCAGGAAAGGCTTCTCAGGATGACTAGGAAGTTGACTATCACCGGATATGGTTTATTTTTTTAACAAAATTCTTCACTAGTTTCATTGAGATTCTACAGGGAAGGTGGTTGCAAAAGGGGGATATCTCAGGTGTAGGGAATCTCAGGATATATCCCAAAACACCTGTTCAGATTGGCCAATCATAAACCCAAAGTGTAGGAGGGATGGGGGTGTCAGAGGTTGAGTTAGCGGAGCGACATGTGACAGAGCACAACAGGCTTCATTCCCAGCCAAGACTCTTAAACCGACTATTTTACAGGAAAAGGAATCACTGGAAGATGAGGAGGAGCGGAAGAACAGCTGTCACTTTTGTTTTAGAAAGACAGATGACCGCCAGTGTGGAAACTAGACAGACAGGGATGGGTCTGGGGACAGGCCAGCCCATTTATTTATATTAGCTGCTATAAATTGTTGTCACAGTCAATTTAATCGTTTCCTAAACATTAAGTTTGAAAACAGCTGCAAACAGAAATCAGCCCAGGATTGTGTCTTTCTTTAAAACATAGCTGACAAGATGGGCTATTGAAAACAAAGCAGTTGGATGTAAAAAATAAATAAATAAATAAAACCATATATAATTTTAAATGTCCTGATAGCGTAATGAAAAAATTATAATAATAGCCCCTTCTGAGTTTCAGCAAGAGTCAGAAACAAAATGACAAATGCTCAACCCAGAAAGGTAAGCCACTTACCACAGGAACACGGGCATTTGGCTCAAATTCTGTGGAATCTGCATCTAAAGGTTAAGAAATGAATTAAATAATTCGCCAATATTGCTGAAAAATATTTTAAGTAAAAATAAAATTTTTAAAAATAAAAGGTTAGTAGATAAATCTCAAACTTACCTTTCAAGTTAAGGCAGTTCCTTGCAAACTCTATCACTGCTAGTTGCATCCCAAGGCAAACTCCTGTTTTAAAAAGCACATATATAAAGCAAATGAACACATTTTGTATTTCTTCATATGTTCTGTCCATTTGTTTGCTGTCTGTCTCCTCCATCTAGAATGCAGGCTCTGAGAGAGCCAGACTTTGCCTGTTGGGCTCACTGTGGTACCCTGTGCACTCAGATCATCTGTGGCAGAGGCAGGGAGGGAGGTTAGATGACTCAAACTTCAGGAGGAAAGAATTCAAGGTCAGAAAAGGGCAGGAAAGCATAGACCAAGTTGCAAAAGGCAAATGTACCTGCCTCCAAATTTGTCTCTAGAGGCATATGCAGAGCTGTCCCACACAGAGCGCCTGCGTCCTTCAGGGAGTATCTAACAACGCCCAGTCAAGAGGGAGGCTTCACACTCCCCTTCTCAGTTTCACAGCCTTAATTACGGGCTTTTCCTGAGGGCAGCCTCAGGCCAGCCAGCGGGCTGGGATCTGAGGAGCACTCACAGGTCAGCAGGGGAACCCAGAAGAGCCCCACAACCTCCCTGTAAGAAAACGGGCAGCAGCTGGGGGACTTGGCACCTCCACGGTGGGCCTGAGCGTGGTGGAGAGAAGGGCAGGGAGATGCAAACCGAACAGAGAGCTCAGTAAGGAGGGCTCTCCGTAGCCCCAAGGCCGTTGCCACAGGGATGCGCCTTTCACCCATCTCCACATTCACTTGGGCCCACCAATTTCTCTCCACTAAACAAATGCCAAGGAGCACTCCAGATGCTCTTAGAGGCATATCCAAGGTAAACAAGGGATTCAAAGGAGAGAGCAATCGATATGCCAGGCAAGCCAGAACAGAAGTCAGTAAGCATGAAAGAGCTGAGTGCTTGGTGGCGGGGGGCGGGGGGGGGGGGGGGGTGCGACACGACCACTTCAGAAAATTCCACTTGGCTAGGACATAGAGAGACACAGTGTTACAGAGAAAGCTAAACAGTTGAGAACTGTCCTATACAGTGAGAGTTATCTGAAGCACACTAACCACCATCAGACAGAAACCAAACAAGATTACTTCAAAAGAAAACAATGGCCCAGAAAAGCTTAGAAGGGTAAAACAAAAGCAAGGTATCAAGGCAACTACTCCTGGCTTCCCTTTTGAAAATGGATCCCAGGGGAGAGCTTCTAGGAAGCTAATCACAGAACAGGCGATGGGGAAAACAAATAGTCTGCTGATAGTAAAAGTTACCCAAGCCTGTCCGCTCATCTGGAAACCCACCAATACGTCCCAGTACAGTGTGAAACACAGCCTCTCCTCACTCCCTGTCCTGCCTGAATCCCTACCTGCAGGGCTGCCTTTATCCCGCCAAGAATGCATCTCATCTGGTTTCACTGGCCCAGAAGCCATGCTTTGCAATTTGCACAAAAGCATTAAAAAGATCCAGTTCCACCAAATTTTAACAGAGCTGTCCCTGCAATGTTGGATGGTCTTTCTGTATTATCTTTTCTAGAAGAAGCATATAATTTCAACTTCATCATTTTTTAATTCTGATTAGAAAGAACATTGTGGAGTTCTGCTGAATGGGTCTCTGCTTGAACTGGCGAAAAGATGGATTTGGGTGGCAATCGGAGAAGGTCAGGGCAGGTACAGACAGCAACTTCTCCCAGCCTCTTGCTACAAACCAGAGCAATAAGTTCTCCACACACTTTCAGTAAGGGCCAGATAGTAAAGATTACGCTGTAGGGTCTCAAACTCTGACACTGTACCACAAAAGCTGCCATAGACAATATATAAACAAAGTGGTGTGACTATGTGCCAATATAACTTGATTTACAAATACAGAAAACGAGCCAGGGATAGTCTCCAGGTAGCAGACTATCTGGTGCCTGAATACTCATATCTGACTTCCCACCTTTCACATTAACAACCCCTGTTCAGTGTTACCCCTACTAGGTATCAAAAACCAAATAAACTCATAGTTAGGATCCATAAACATGAGTTTTACCCAGAAAAGGAATCTTCTTTGCCCTCGCCCAAGAAATCGCCTGGAGTTTGCCCAATGTTCCTCTGATTCCGAAGCCTCCTGGTACCAGAACACCACTGCAATCAACACAAGATGAGAGTGAATTTGACATTATTTTTATTTTTAAAACTCTTCAGCCTTTCATCCCTACTGATCCTCAATCCAACACTAAAACATATGATTGAGGTCTGTATTCAGAATTGATTACATGATCTGACAGCCCGAACATTCTTCTTGAAATCCTCCCAATGTATGAAGAAGGCGCAACAATTTCTCACAGCTGACCTCAATTTATATTTTGTGATAGGTCCTTGTGGCAGGAGCATAGTGACTACTGAGAAACTCAATTCAATTATAAATGCTACTAAATTATATGAATAAAAAGTAGGTTGTTTTTTAAAAAGCACTATTATAAAAATGTTAAGATCTCTTACATAATCAGAAAGAGTTACTGTGGTAAAATCAGCCTAAGATTTCAGTTGCTAACTTAAGTAGGGCACATGAAAATGTTGTTAGAAGACAGTTTAGAGACCTTCTGGACACTCATTTGAAAAGACAAGAGTTCGAGAGAAAAACCAGGATGGTCGTGCTGCCCTCATAATGCAATGGTACCCCCAAGAGTTCTGGTCATCATTAATGAAATAAAAATAAAAATGAAATAATGTGGAAAAGAAAATATAACCAAGAGAAAAGGGTTGTCATCCTTGCACTTTAACTTTGTGTGGGATCCGTCTCCGTATCTTTCAGTACAATCAGCGTACTTTCTCTCTAACGTAGGATCCCCATTCTCCCCAAAATAAAACCAGTTCCATCGCACATGCCACTAACATTAACACGGCACACTGCAAAACAAACGCAGTGTGAATGTGGCACAACTACCCATAATGACCACAAATACTCCAGGCTACCTTTCAAAATGCACAGAAATTAATAACCGGGGTCAATCAAATCATTACAGAAAAAGCACAGTGGCGTTCTCCTAACTGGTGTGAAAGGTCCCTAGGACTCACTCAGCTTTGCATAGCTTCTGCCACGCTTCATGGAATTTCACAGGGTCCTCAGTTTCGGTGGTGTGCTCCAGATCAATGGAGTCTATGTACTAAAAACATCCAACAGATTAGAGGCACATTCAAGAAAAATAAATGCTGAAATAGAAGAACTATCTAACACTATGACAAAATTATTCAATAACTGCTTATTATACAAACCCTGTACTGAACACTTGGGATAGAAAAGCATGATCTCTCTCTTGGAACACTTACCGTCTTTTAGGAAGATTACAAAACCAGAACAGACAGCAACAAATAGTGGGATAATGGCCACAATAAGGACCGAAGAGAACGCTGCAGAAGTAACCAACAGCCACCCCTAGTCTACACGTAGATACTGGAGGAAAGAGGGAGGCAGCGTCACCAGGGAAGACTGCTGGGGAGGTGATTTCCAAAAAGCTAAGCCCTCCAGGATGAGCAGAAGCAAGATGAGCATGTGTGCACATGCTAGGAGGCAAGCGGGAAGGTGCGCAGAAGACAAAAGGGACAAGGCGGGGGCAAGGGAACAGCATATGAAATCTCAGAAAAAAGGAGAAAGTGGTGGCCACTCCGGGGCCCTCACAAGAGGCCCCACCCAGCCAGAGAAGTTTACACTTGAAGCCACTGAAAGGTCTTAAGTAAGGGGACAACAGGAACAGAGAAAACAGAGAGAGGCTTTAGAAGGATCGTTCTGGGACAATGTGGGAATTGGAGGGAGGACTGGAAAGCGGTAGGGAAGTCACTGCAATAGGCCTGACGAGGTAAACACAGCAACAGACTGGGCTTCAAAAGAATATGCCAGGATTATGACTCAAATAGGACTGAGCACAAGCTAATGTCCATGGATTCTATTAAATGAAAACTCATGTACAACAATTCATGTGTACCCAAACAGTCCCCACAAATCTGTATTATTTTAGTATTTGTTTTGTAACAATTACTATCTAATTATATGTTAAGATACAAAATTTTAAAGTCCTTACAGAATTTGCATTGTAACAATTTTTATATTGTTGTTTTCTTTTTTCTATGAGGGGGTGGAGGCCTTGGAAGAGTGGGAAGAGCAGGAAGTGAAATTTTTCTTGGAAAGTCAAACCTAAAAAGTAGTTAGAAAAGAAAGAGGCTACAAGAGGTGAGAGAAAAGTTGTAGGTCCTAAGCTGGTATCTAAGTGGCAGTTACTAATTTCTTGGACATACAAATGTATTTCTTTGGCTATTATATAAAGATTTTACCATTTAAATCTAGATAATAAGGTTTGTTTGAACCATAATATACCCATGCAGAATATCATTCAATACAAACATTTATATATAGAAAGAGAAAAATCTAGAAAGAGATGCATAAACTGGGAATGACAGATGCAAGAGAGAAGTGGGATCTCAGGGAGGAGGAATCTTCCACTTTCTGCACTTTACATGATACTTTTTAAAATTTCCTACACTGAGAAGGTACACTTCTATATCTCACTTAAACAAAGAATATACACAAATTATAACTCCACCTCTGCTATCCCATAATAATGATTTTAAAGAACAAATAATCTCTGTTTGCCAGATATCACTTCTCTAAGTTAGAAAAGACAACATAGCATTTTAAAAATTTGGATTCAATTCCCTTGCTACTGGGGAAAAAAGTTCTATTATGTTCTTATTAGGCAAGCACAATGTACTTAAATGAGCATGAAGTAGCCCTGGCTGGTGTGGCTCAGTGGATTGAGTGCCAGCCTGCGAACCAAAGGGTCACCATTTGGATTCCCAGTCAGGGCACAGGCATGGGTTGCGGGCCAGGTCCCCAGCAGGCGGCACGTGAGAGGCAACCACACATAGACGTTTCTCTCCCTCTCTTTCTTTCTCCCTCCCTTCACCCCTGTCTAAAAATAAATAAATAAAATCTTTTCCAAGAATCAGCATGAAGTATATATAGCCCTAGATGTGCAGAGCCTAATTTCAGACACCGTGCCTTAAACCTGTGTGCAGAACAAAGTTAACATGGCTATTGGCGGGACGGCCATGTTTTGTGGTGTTTTGTGTCTGGATGTTTTGTCCCTGTGAAGCACATGCAGTCTTAAGTCAAGGAAGTTTTTCAAAGTCTACCAAAATCTGCCTTCAGTGGTGCCTATTAAAGAGGTGGGTCTGAACCCAAAATGACAAAATGGGAAGCAATATTAATACTAGGTCTAAGCCCTACTGCCAATAAAAGAAAATAAGAGACGCTTATAGATGAATTATGCTTGTAAATCCCCCAGACAAAGGAGGATCTTCTTATATAGCAGCCAAAATCAATGAAGCTTAAGATTTACGAGAAGGTCAAGCAAAAAAAAAAAAAAAAAAAAAAAATGAAGCATATGTATGATTAATTTTAGGTTATTAGTTATGTATACAAGTGCCAGCTTTTTATAAAATGTTTCAAAGCTACAAATTTTAAAAATGATTTAGAGCAAACTAAGTCAAAGCGTTGGTATGTTTCTCATTTAAATTTGAGGATTTTAAGTCAGATTATTGAATACTTGGAGATTGACGCTCAATAATTAAGGAGAAAGACATACTATTCGAATAGAAATGTTGCTCATTACTCATTTAGCAAATAGTTTGGTACTTACCTCAAGGCAAAGTGAACATGAAAGTCCCTGCTCTCAAGGAACCCCAATCTAATGGGAGACCAATAAACTGGTAATTAAAACACAACGTGATAAAAATGATGGAATTAGCATAGGTTGTTAAAGTAGACTCATCTCATTGGGAAGAAAGGTTGTCAAGGTATAGAGAGCTGGCTTAGGTGCTTGGAACTGTTCATCTGAAAGTGAATTTAGTCACAATTTTTACCTAAAAAAAATTGAGGTAGGTATGTATATATCACTGACAGAATTCAGATTTCATTCATTAAAAACTTCATTTAAAAACATGGCTGTTGGTGGAAGGGCGTGCTTACAAGATCGGCCCTTGGTTGGCACCTGGAAACTTGGATTTTGCAACACAATCTATGTCTCTGAAACACAAGCTATCAGGGTAAATGACTGAAATATCCAGACGAGCAGGCCGGGACTCACCATCAGATTCAACTTGTGATTGATGGCCAAAGCTGAGTGTTCCAGGGCTTTGAAAACAGAGGCATAGCAGTCCCTCAGCTTGGTGTATTTGCCAACCAGGGCTATGGAACACGTTTTCTGTAACCTTTCATACCTGGGAGGGAAGACAAGCTTAAGGTTATACGCATGGAAGATAACACCACAAACATAATGACAGCCACCGTTCTTATCCCAAAGCGCTGTTCATACATATAGTAGTCCTTTTTCTTCTGAACATATCTTATCTCCATTCCCCTTTGCAAATTCAGACCTTTACCTCCTCCCCTTTTATGTTTTCATTGTCACAAATTATCCCTATTTATGCCGTGAGTTCATTTCCAAACTGCAGGAGCTATTGTCTTCTTCTCTCTTTTTTAATGTTATTACTGCCTTTAACCTTTATGTGATATTTAAAAAATATGGAACGCTTCACAAATTTGCATGTCATCCTTGTGCAGGGGTTGTGCTAATCTTCTCTGTACCGCTCCAATTTTTTAGTATATGTGCTGCCAAAGCCCCAAAGCACTTTTGAAAACCTTAGAAAGAGACAAGCCTTGAACTTGGTGCACTCGATTCAGATCCCCACCCCACCTCCAAAGAACTCAAACCTGTATGTGGACAGGTTTCAAAATTGTAAGAAATCCCAATGTTGGTTTATATGAGCAGGCACAGATATAAATCAGAGAGGAAGTTAAAAGCATTAAAAATATAAAAAGGCTGTTCCCACCTCATAAATATGAGCTGTTCTTAAATTCATTTATAAGGTGACATCGTATAAAAAAGGCATTCTGAGTGCCAATAGGAAACATTCCAATATCAACTTTATAAGGTGACATTATATAAGAAAACACATTTAACGTGTCTACATTAAAAATTGCTACACCTATATAATTTTATTAACCAATGTCACCCCAATAAATTCAATAAAAATTTTTTAAAAATTGCTACACTCCCAGCTGGCCCACAAAAGCCAGATTACTCATGGCATGCCTGAAGAATGCTGCTAGTAGAACTACTTAAAATGTTACTAGGCGTTTAGATCATTTTTATGAGAAAATCCCATTCTACATAAGACACTCAATCACATTTTACTATTAGAGACACAATCTTTACTGTTGCTTTTGTCAGGAAATCTGTTCAAAGAACATGAAAAATGTCTGGCCTGATACTAAGTATGTGGAAATGTCATCTTGAGGCTGAAGATATTTTAGGGCTTGGAAGCAAAGCCTTCCTCCAACACCTCAGAACAAAAATGTTACCATGATGAGGAATATTCCTCATTCAGATCAACATCTGCAAGGAGTACAAGAGCAACATGATAGCAAACAGGGTAAGAGGAGAAAAATGCACAAGAAGCAAAGAAGTCAAAACTGGCAGTAAAGGTGACTTTCTGGGAAGGTGACTAAAGTACCTAAGAGAAGGCTGCTGAACCTTTCTTCCACATGCTACTTAATTTTATGTTGCTCTAGAGATTGTGTAGCTGCCCTTGCTTCAGCCCAGCTCTACATAAAGGACACAGGTAACAAAGCTAGCTGGTATCAAGCCAAGTTTCCGAGAGACAGCAGAGGTAAATGCTTCCCGTCCCGACCACACTTGAGCCCAGCAGCTTGGCTGAGCCGTCACCCCCATTCTCCCTCCTACACAGAGGGAGGGAAATCCCGCCGGAAGGAAGCGGGCCTGGGGTCAACACTGCCAGCTCCTCCTTCTGGTCATTCATGTCTGGTCTCCCCAGGACAAGAGGAGTCACTCGTCAGCCAGGTGGGTCAGGTAAGTCCACTGAGTCACACCAACCAGGGAGGAGGGCCGCTGTCCCGGAAGGTATCCTGAGCCCATCCTTGTGGTGTCCTCTTTCCCTCCTGAACTGCAGGCACTCACAGAGCACTGCCCAGACCAGCCGAGCCTCTTCCTCATGGTCTTTGAACCACCACCTGGGTTTGAGAGGCGGGCTGCTAACACTGCTATGGGCTGCCATTGGGAAGCAGATCTGGGGTCCACTTCGCAGGCCCATCCACTATAGGCAAGTCCCCCTTTCTTGACTGAGAGCCAGTATTGTCCCTGCGTTGGCCTCCAGTCCCAGGCAAGCTTTCCCATTCGTTCAGTAAGAAACCCCTGACCTCTGAGCAGCACTGGACCTCCAGGATCAAAGCTGCCTTTTGACCTGTTTGCCTCCTTGTATCTCTCTACAGGCTGTATTGAGGAGATGGGGGCTAAAGAATGAACACTCCAAACTGCCATTACCAATAAACCAACATCCCCGCTAACATGATGCAGAGGGAACGATGCTGCTCAATATCCCCCCAGAACCTGTGAATGTGACCATATTTGGAAAATGGAGTCTTTGCAGATGCAATTAAGTTAAGGATCTCAAGATGAAATTGTCCTAGATTAGGATGGGCCCTAAATCCAAAGATAAGAACGCCTATAAGAGAAGAGAAAGAGACCCCTGGCTGGTGTGGCTCAGTGGATTGAGTGCTGGCCTGCAAACCAAGGGGTACCTGGTTCGATTCCCAGTCTCCTGGGTTGTGGACTGGGTCCCCAGGGACCCATGAGAGGCAACCACACATTGATGTTTCTCTCCCTCTCTTTCTCCCTCCCTTCCCCTCTCTCTAAAAATGAATAAATAAAATCTTTAAAGAGAAGACACAGAAAAGTCCATGTAATGACAGAGATTGTAGTGATGCGGCCACAAGCCAAGAAACACCAAGGACTGCAGGCAGCCCCCCAAAGCTAGAAGAGACGTGAGAAACAGATTCTCCCTCGGAGCCTTCAGAAGGAACCAACCCTGCTGATGCCTTGATTTTGAACTTCCGACCTCCACAACTGTGAGGAAATACATTTCTGCTGTTTTAAGCCACCTAGATTGTGGTACTTTTTAGCAGCAGCCAAAGGAATCTAATACAAAAACAAAATACTGGCCTTAAAAAGCACAGAGGCATTGAGTATAATTTAGAACTATTTCCAATAAAAAGAGTCAAAACTATTAAAATGTCTCATGCTTAAAGAGGACCAGCCACAAACTACTCAGAAAATTCCTACAAAGTGACTGATTCCTTAAGCATTCTGGAAGGTAGGGACTTAATTTAGCACCATTCATAAGAAACTGTACTTTATTCCTGATTCTACTTGACCCAGAAATCTAAAAACACTTTTTTTATTTTCAAGTGAAATGGCAAGAGGACTTTAATTTACTAGTCATTTATCAAGGTCAGTAATTTTGCCACCATCTTATAATTTTAATTATTGTTACCAACAACAATACTTAGTGTCTGATTCAATGTTAAGGCCTTATGTGTTTTCTCTCATAATTGCCACAGTGTGGGTACTAGTACCCCCCTGTTATGTATGGATGGGAGAACAAGCTCCAAGAGCTTAAGTAATCTGCCCAGACTGGGATTTGAATCTATGGTGCTTGATGCCAAAACCTACATTTTTTAAAATTTAGAAATTATTGACATAGCATATTAGCTTTACAGGTATCACATCATTCAATATATGTAGATATTGCTAAATGATCACCACAATAGGTCTAGTTAACATCCATCACCACATATAGTTACAACTTTTTTTTCTTGTGATGAGAACACCAGAACCTCCATTTGTAGCTGCTACACCTCCTGCTTCTCCGCAAGCTGCATAAGAAACCAGGCAGCCAGGACTTTACCATCCATCTGACTTCAAATGAAACAAACCTTGTTGAAATTAATATGGTTGTCTTAAAGTTAAAACCTATCAGGGGTTTTAATAATGATGCTGATAGTTAATAAATGCAGGATCGAACAATAACAATATAGCCAAAATATTCAATAGGATTTTCTTTAGGAAATTGTTAACCAAACCTTAAAAACAAGCAAAACAGGTGGGAGAGGGTACAGGGGGGATAAATGGTGAAAGAAAAAAATAAAATAAAATATTAAAAATAACAAGCAAAACAGAACAAAAAAACCCATGACATTTAAAACTGTTTAAAATATTCAGGAACTAAGAAATAAACTAATAAATAAATAAAAATGCTTCAAAGGCCCCAGAAATCTTCAGAGAATACAGCAAAGCAGTCTAACAATGTCCTACAACTTCAGAAATCTCCATACAAAATCATACACATACAGAAAGCCAAATGCAACATACATGCCTTTTAAGGTACATCTCAGTCCCAAGAATTAAAGGTTACATTAGTGATTCCTTTCACGTACCTGTCAGCCATATTTCTCCACTTGAAAAGCAAATTATTTGCAGAATCACCAATAGGCAAATGCAATCTCTCTTTAAAATATTTAACAATGCCTTGTTCCTCCAAAAGCACAGGCACTCGGTATGTGGATGAAACATCATGGATACAGATAACCTGGTTGATGATAAAAACACCGTATTGAAGTGGAATAACTCTAATGTGCCACAGAATGAGCTCAAGAATAAGCCAGAACTCAAGAGTCTGGCAGTTGACTTATAGTGATAGAAGAAAACCAAGAGCCAAGCCACCTAAACAAGAGGCAGAATTAACACAAGGTTAGTTTGATCTAACTACAAAATGCTTTGAATTCATTATCTACCTGTGGAGCCCCAGATACTGTGGTAGAATTAAAAATATATATATAGGATATGGTCTTTGTTCCCAGTTCCTGAAAGAGCTTCAAAAACCTTTGGAATTTTCTGAGGGACAGGGGGTATGTTTGTTATGCCAATGAAGTGACTCAGGGTGGCCCCAAATTGGTTCAGGATGGGAGTCAGTCACAGGAAAAACCAACCAAGTCATTAGAGGGCTGGAACTTTTTCAGCTGCCTGACCTCCAGGGAGGGGATAGTGGTGGGGAGTGGGGCAAGAGATTGAGTTCAAACACGTGACCAACGATTTAATCGTACCTACATAATGAAACATCAATAACATGAAGACTGAGGGGAGCATCCTGGTTGGTGAATATGCAAGTGTGCAGGAGGGTAGCTCACCTTAACTCCATGGAGGTAAGACCTCTTGCACTCAGCACCCTCCTAGACCTTGCCCTATGTATTTCTTCATCTGCCTATTCATTTGCACCCTTTATAATAAAACAGCAATCATAAATATAGCACTTTCCTGAGTTCTATGAGTCATTCTAGAAAATTCTCAAACCTGAAGGGGTTGTGGGAAACCCCAAATCTGTAGTCAGCCAGGCAGGACTGTGGGTGGCTTGGGGACACTGGAAACTTGTGGCTGGTGTCTGAAGTGAGGACAGTCTTGGAAAGGACTAAGCCCATAAACCTATGGAGTCTGACTCTCACTCTGGGTAGTTAGTGTCAGAGCTGGATTGCAGGACCCTCACCTGGTGTCAGAGACTCGGTGTTGGAACATGGATGCTTCTTTATATGTCAATATAGAGACACATGGCCCAAGGCACCACCTTCTAAGTCTAGACTAAGGCAGTAGTGTTGAACGCATACACCTTGTCTCCCAAATGTGGTTATGCAGTTTGTTTGTTCAGTCATTTGTTGCTGTTGCTGCTGCTATCGTTGCTTTTGTCCTTCCCCTTCTTTTAGGTAAATTTACAAGCCCACACTGAACACAGTCAAATTAATTACACCTGTTAGAGGAGAACGGCTCCTTTGCCAGGTGGTGTGGTTGTTTTTCATACTTACCCTAACAAGCTTTCACCACCCTCTCAAGTACATCCAGGAAGCTACTGGCAGGCATTTAAGGATCTGCCACATCCTAAATAAATGCCAAGAAATGTTCTGCCAACAATATGTGTGCAGTCTTCCCAAATCCATAGCTCTGCAACCAGGGGTTCCTAAGCTGTCTGGACTTCGTCAACCTGATATTTAAGAATAGTGAGAATAGTGTGCCTCACTGGTACATTCACCAACGCAATCAAAAGTGCTGAGATGCCACTAATAGGAGACTATCACAATTACTATTTAAAACTAAATCCCTGGACAACCACAACTCCCACAAGTGTAAGGCAGGGAGTGTGGAGCTATTTACTCATCCTCCAGGCCAGAGAGAGATTTTGTCAAATGCCGGAGTAATGGGCCACACCCACAGAGATGTCTCCGATTCTCCGTGCTGTCCTCCGCATCCCCAATGCCAAGAGCTTTAAGTGCAAATTCACCGGAAACTATGAAATGGAAGTGTTAACCCACATCAGAAAAAAACAAGGTGCTGAAAAATGGCTACTAAACTGGCCCGTGGACTGATGGGACAGAGCATTCTTCAGAATCCATATTACACAGAAAACAGATTCAATGTGGTAGAAAGTTTGGACTAAATCTGTTCTCAGAGCTGAAAACAAAAAAGGGGTTCTGTTAATCTGACAAGCTCAGCAATGGAGAGTAGCCTCACAGGATGATCTCATCACAAAATCCTAACTGGGCGGGTCGTGGTGGGTAATCACGCTTCAGGCCAGTTACCTTCCCTAGCAAAAGGTTTATCTTTGCCTTAAGCAAGTCCTATCCATTGTTCTTCTGCATCTAAGTTAATGCACCTTTGAAATGCCAGCTTAATCCTCTTCTTTGGACTCCTCAGAGTCATCACCACCCTCAAGGGATCACAAAGTCTTGTTAACTAACCAGTAATCCAATCCTCACCCACCTTCCTGTAACCTTCCTCACATTCCCTCCATTTCAAATACAGAAGAGCAGAGCAACTGCAAAATGGCCATTTTCCAGAGCATTTGAGATCTTGCTTCCTGGCATTCGTCAGTTTGGCTCAAATAAACTCAGGTTTGGATGTTCTTACGTCAACAGAGCTCTCAGCAACCCAACTCTATAAGCTGTATTCTACTTGTATTTAGGAAACCAGGTTATATTTGTTTAATAGACATGCAAAGTACCATTTACCAACAGGAAGGGTACAACAACCACCACCAAAAAAAAAAAAACAACAACAATTGAACAAAAACAAAATGGCTTGACGACATACAAACACAGGAGAGACCTTTAAACCTGTCATCACATTTTTCAAAATAGAGCAGACTTATGCACTGTCCCTGAAGCATCTGGCAGGAGGTTCTCCGTCAGACTGTCCCCTGAGATACAGAAATCTGATTAGATGGTTTTTAGGCTTCACAGAATTCAGAGCTTATCTGAAGAAAACAAAAGGTTTCTGCTAAACCTCACCCTTTTCCTGAGCACTGGTTTTATCACATTTTAAATTATAGCCCACTCTGATCGCTTGTGCCTGAGCTTCACTGCAAACAAGAGACAGAGATAAGAAAATGATAGAAAAAAGAAAAGCTAACTCTCAGAGACCCAAGTGGAAAGCTGGGCAGGACAGAGGGCCTGAGCCCAAATCACATTACAATTTCTGTGCCAATGAATTGAACTGAGGCTGCTGATGTAATCAGAAGTGGTAGCAGGTACAAAGGAGAAATCGAGGTGAAAGCAGTAAAAGTGATGATAAGCAGGCTTGGTTCTCTCTCCAGAGGTTTGACTTCAAGTTAAAAAGCCCACCTGGCCCTGGATGGTGTGTTTCAGTTGGTTGGAGCATCAGTCCATAGGCCAAAGAGTCACAGGTTCGATTCCTGGTCAAGGCACATGCCTGGGTTATGGGTTTGGTCCCTAGTTGGGGCGCATATGAGAGGCAACTGATCCATGTTTCTCACATCAATATTTCTCTCCCTCTCTCTCTCCCTCTCTATCCCTCGCTCTAAAATCAGTGAGCATGTCCTCAGATGAGGATAAAAAATTAAAAAATAAGATAAAAAATAAATTAAAAGCCCACCTGGTTTTGTACCTATAACTTAAGGAGTGATTATGCAAAGAAACATGCACTCTACCTAAGGAATCAGGAGTTTCAAGATTGTTCACTTAAAGGCAAGGGAGCCAGGGTTGGATATGAGTTTTCATAAATGCTGTGAACAGTAATGTGATAATTTAAGAGGTATAAAACATTGGCATCAGCAGAAGTGCCTGCGCGGCAATAAAACTTAAAGAGCAGCACTAACCTGTTCAGGGTTCACATGACAAAACATAGAAATCTTTTCCTTCACAGCCATTTCGATGGGTGTTGAACTCCGGCAGACAATCTGTCAAAGTCAGGTATGCACAGGTCAGCAAGCAGGAATAGACTGTCCACGCCACCATTCGTTTTCAGAAGGGTGCTAGATAAATTTCTTTTTGCTACAACAGACTTGACCAAATAAGGGCATGCTCATTCTGGGCATTACATTGGCCTTTTAGAAACTGGTCTGAGCACTAAAATAAGCAAGTATAGTCAAACTCAACACTACTCTCACCAGTAAGAACACAGAATGTAAAGGTGCAGCTATAGATAAATGTCAACAATGGGTGGTACCGTGTTTCCATTAAACTTTATTCACAATTTTAAAAGTTTTTTAAAAATGTATATCTACAGGCAACAGGCCTGCAGGCCCTGGGTTGCTGACCCCTGAGCTACACTACTGGTAATAACTGGATTATTGCTACTTAACAAGAGCAGTGAAAGCCCATCCTAGCAGGGTCAGAGGAGAATCTCCAAGGTCCCACCTCACTCTCGAGGACCCGGGGACAATACAAAATGGCAGACATTACACTTGCCCAGCTCTCAATGTGGCCAATCAAAGGAGGGCCTAGAGAAGAACCAATGGCCAATTTAGAAATGTGTGAGGTGACACTTGAGGATGAGGGAATACCCTTCCCTGGCTCCTAGATACAAAAAGCTTAATGTCATAAGAAGCATTTGAGAGCTAGAAAGGACTCAGGTGATGCTAGATTAAGAAAAGGAGGTCCTATTTCAAGAAACTTACCCACTCTCTTTAACTCACCAGATCGGGAGAGAGACCCAACCCCCTCAGCGCACGAACACTGTTTTGCGTGGGCTTGGTTTTTTGTTCTCCGGTAGCACTGGGCTGGGAAGAAATGGGTCGCTGTTAGTACGTTGGACATTTAGTTCTCCCGGATAGTGAATGGGTCCCTAGCCAAAATGCAGAATAAACAGAATATCATAGGAAGACTTATAGAAGTTGCTGTCTGTACTTATCTGGAAAGCTCACCTGTGGGACAAGGCTAACATGGATGTTACAGAAATTCTCTCTCTTTGCTTTAAACTGAAATTGTCTGAATGCTTCCACAAATGGCATTCCTTCAATGTCTCCGATGGTGCCACCCAGCTGGGATGGAAAAAAAGACACAAGTGATCTTCCATGTTACACAGACTAATAGAAAAGGTCTTAATAAGCTAAGCAGAAGTTTGATGGTTGCACAAGAACAGACATTTGTAAATATACTAAAGATTGTGGAATTGTATACTTAAAACAGGCGAGATTTATGATGTATAAATTAAACGAAAAAGCATTGTACATTTAAAAGGGAGACGAAGCAAAGGGAAGAGAAAATGGAGACTAGAAAGTAAAATAAGAAGGGACGGAGTGTAACACAGCCAGGTAAACAGCAAAGAAGGTAAGCAGAGCCTCAAGAAGAGAGAAGAAAGCCAGGTGAGGAGGGCTTTCAGGATGATCTGATTGCTGTGTTTATAAGATCACTTTGCTTGTTGTGTGGAGATATGGACTAAATAAGTAAACATTCATGCTATCATGGATTCAGTTGGATTTTACACGCTAGTAAATTCCCATTCTGCCCGCCCCCAAAATGGGGGACCATTATAAGGCTGTGAACACTTGATCTTCTCAAGACTGAAAATGTTAAAAAAAAATCAGGGCTTTAAGAAAAGAGAGGGTAATTCATAAGCAGATAAAAAGATCCAGAATATAAAGCCACCTGCCTCTGCCTGGTGTGAGATAGCGAGCATTCTCTCTCTCCGTGAATGAACACACACACACACACACACACACACACACACCCCGCATGCATCTGAACAGTCTCCTTGTATAGAGGTACTACTATAATTAAATCACTACTATTAAAACATGCTGCCCTGGCTGATGTGGCTCAGTGGATTAAGGGCTGATCTGGGAACCAAAGGGTCACTGGTTCAATTCCCAGTCAGGGCACATGCCTGGGTTGAAGGCCTGGTCCGCATGTGAGACGCAACCACACGTGGATGTTTCTCTCCCTCTCTCCCTCCCTTCCCCTCTCTCTAAAAATAAATAAGTAAAATCTTTTTTTAAAAAATCAAATATAAAAAAAAATAAAATAAAACATGTTAGCTTTTTGAAACAAGCAGCACCAAAAGCCCCGACAACTATAATCCTTTGATAAATGTTAACTTAATTTACAATATGCTTCCGGTAGTTACTTAAGCATTTCACTTTAGACCGGGATAAAATTCACCTTAATGCATTCATCCATGTCATATTTAAATGCTTAAAAACTATCACATGGATTTTTAAATTAATTCTATAGCATTTGAGCACCTACTACATGCTCAACACTATGAATGAGGTGCTGGAGGAATTTAAGACAAGGTGCTCCTAAGGAGCTCAGAATTCAGCGAGGGACACGGAACAGAACTAAGGGACAAGAATCAGGAGTAAAGCTTAAGCACTCGGTGGCATGATCTCGGTGCTGAGGAGGAAGAGATCACCATGAGCCCAGCCCCAGAATTCACCATCTTCTCTGGCTTCAGACTGGGTCTGGAATGCACTTCAAGCCCTGCCCCCTTTTCCCAGCACCACTGGGCTTCGTAGCCAGCTTGCACTTGACATCTTGGATGGATCAATAATGACCCAAACTTACCACCTCCCAAACAGAACTCGCGATCTGCCATGTCTGGGCCTATTTCTCTGGTTGCTTCATTATCTCAGCAAATAGCATCTCCTCCCACTAAGCTAGAAGTCTGGAAACCATCCTCAAGTCCCCCATTTTGTCACCCAACACAGTTCAGTAGGTCATAACTCCAAAACTTCTTGCAAAGGTCTCCCCTGCTACCATCCTAGACACTCAAGCCCACACCATCTTTTGCCAGGATTACTGCAATAATCTAAACCAGAGGGTAGCAAACCATGGCCTACTGCCTGTCTTTATACCTAAAGTTTCATGGGCACACAGCTATGCCCATTCATTTACATACTGTCTGTGGCTGCATTCACACTACAGTAACAGAGTTGAGAAGTTATGACAGAGACTCTCCCACCAGCAAATCTAAACAAGCTAAACATTTATTATCTGACCCTTTACAGAAAAAGCTGGTCAACCCTCAATTTTTTTTAAAAGATTTTACTTATTTATTTTCAGAGAGAGGGGAAGGGAAGGAGAAAGAGAGGGAGAGAAACGTCGATGTGCGAGAGAAACAACTATTGGTTGCCTCTCGCACGCCCCCAACCGGGAACCAAACCCACAACCCAGGCATGTACCCTGGGAATCACCCTGGCAACATTTTGGTTTTTGGGACGACACCTAACCCACTGAGCCCCACCAGTCAGGGGACTCCCAATCTTAATGGCCTGCAACTTCCATCACTGCTGCCCTACAATCAAGCCATTTGTCACACACCAGCAGAGTGACCTTTTAAAAACTCAGAATATGTCTTCCCCTTGCTTATACCCTTCAGTAACCCACCACTTCACTAAAAATAAAACCTAAACTCCTTGATACAGTCAACACAAGGTCCTACGTGATTTGGCCCTTGCACAGGTCTCTAATCTCATCTCATGCTCCCACGTCCCTACTCCCCCGCCTCCACCTCCTTGTGCTTCAGCCCCACTGGCCTCTCAGATGGGCTAGCTCTGCCTTCTTGCCCCTTCTTCATCTACATCTAGCTTATCCTTGAGCCCAGGGAGCTGTGCCCTCCTCAGACAGCCCAACCCCAACCACCTGCCTAAAGCAGCCCCCCACCTATACCCCCATCACAACACCCTGTCCACACCCTTCCTGATAACTCAGTACAAGGTGGCATTATTTTGTTTGAGTCCTTGTTTCCTGTCTCTATGCCCCATTGGCTGCAAGCCCCACAAGGCCAGGGTGGTGCCTGCCATATCTCCAGCACAAGCCCAGTGCCCTACATGCAGCACTGGAGGCTTAGGTTAGTGGTCAGGACAGCACAGAAGTTCTCAAAGTTCAGTATAAGCCTTAGGTAACAGCATTCCTGAACCTCTTGCCATAATTACAATGGAATCAAACCAAGAAGTCTCAGGATATTATTGCTACAAAAGAAATTGTTCTTTAACTCAGATAATAAAACAGTTACAGTTCAAGTTTCCTGGGTATGGAACAGACAGAAACATATGATAATTCTGTAAAAGAATGACTATTTTAATTATGAAAATCAAGAAATATATGCAATCAGGAAACTGGGGGGGGGGGTGTATGTGTTCACTAACTACAATGCAGCAGAATCTAATTGGAACTTTTTTTTTTAGGAAGAGAAGAGGTCTACATTAAACTAAACTGAAAGGAGACATCTTTGGTTTTTTTATGGGAATGTTCTGGGAGTCAGCAGCAAATCCGGAAAAAGGAAGCAAAAACTAAATATTATCTGCTTCTGCCCCCACATGGCCTACAGTGGTACTGCAGCCTCTCTGCCAATTCGGAAGGCCCTGTTACTCCTCTGGCTCCCCATTACCATCGTGACCAGAAACTTTCAGTATTATTGCTAAAATAGTCCTAAGTTAACTATTTCCCTACACAATAGGGAAAATAGCACCCAGAACAGTATTTTAAAATCTATCCAAAGGTTAAATTGAAGCAGCAGCAAATTTATGAGATGTGTTATGTCCATTTTCCCTTTAAGGAGTCTTCTCTTCTGAGCAAGAAAAAGGAAGAAAGAAAAGAAGGAAAGAAGAAAGGAACCTATGTTCCTTTATTCCAGGCATAAGTTATGTCAGATTCATATTCACACAACCTGTACTAACATGAACAGAGCCTGTCAGCTCCACTGGTCTGAGAAGTCAAGGCCTTACTGCAAAAAAGGCTTGTCTACACACTTAAAACTGAAAATCCGCTTTGGTCATCCCTTGAAAACTTAAATCATGCACAAACACAAATGCTGAGCACAGCTTAAACATAAAAGGATGTCTGACCTAGTGTCCAATAAGCAAATGCAAACGTTAGTGTTGTATGGAGAAGAAGGGATTTTTCTAGGGACAAGTTAGCACAGCCGATCTGCATCCATGAAATTAAAAATTGAGCCCCAGTTAGTGTGGCCGAGTGGACTGAGCGCTGGCCTGCAAACTGAAGGGTCAGTAGTTTGATTCCTGGTCAGGGCACATGCCTGGGTTGCGGGCCAGGTCTCCGGTTAGGGGTGCATGAGAGGCAACCAATTGATGTATCTCTCGCACATTGATGTTTCTCTCCCTCTCTAGAAATAAGTAAATAAATGAATAAATTAAAATTTTTAAAAGAAATTAAAAATTGAGATGATGAGTTCTGGAAAGCAGGAGTCATTGTCTGATTACATTCACAGCTATCATGGAGCTAGTACATATTAAAGTGCTCAAGTAATGTTTCTTAAGCCAAACAAGTTAACTTAAGAGCAGAATAAAAAATAAAAATTAAGAACACAGACATGAAAAAGAAACCAGATTGATATGCAGGTACAAGCCAAAAAGGTTTGCTTATTTTTTGTTGAGATGGAAGCTTCAGTTTAATTTGAGATGTCATGAAGGATTCTTGATTTCATTGTGCAAGTAGAATCGTCAACAATTAGAATCTGACCCTATAGCATACTTCTTGTGAAACAATGACAAAGAGAGTCAGGTTTGTCAGCCCCAGAATGAAATACAAAAGCTTTATTCAAGAATGGTTCTCAAAAAGTAATGGCTTGAAAAGTTGAGATGAAAAAGAAGCGTTAGGAAGGCTTGTCCCAACATCAAATTGGGCTTATATTTTAATGAAGTTCAGAGGCAGCTCAATTACATTTAAAAAATAATATCCCCTTCTCTTTTTTGTGGTTATTATTTTAAATGTAGATTTTTTTTTTTTAGATTTATAACATACCTGAAAAAAGTGTGCAGGTCATAAGTGTAGAATTTTCACAGTATAGCCATCACCAAGATCAAGAAATAGAATTACATTATCAGCGTCCCAGAAACCTTCCTCTTGTCCCCTCCCAAACACCACCTCTGTCCTCTACAAAGATCACCACTATCCTGACTTCTATCAGCATAAATTACTTTTACATATTCGTGTATATCATTGTAAATGTAGGGCTTTTTTTTTAAAGAGCAGAATCAGAAAATAAAAGGTAAAAACATTCATACACATGACCCTTTGGAACTTTTCCTGTCATTAAGTTAATAACCTTAAGAAAAGGCTATTCTTTCACCTACAAAAACTAAAAAAAAAGTTGGTCATTGGATAAATGGATATACACACAGTGGAATACTACTCAGTCATAAAAAAGAATAAGCCTTGGCCAGTATGGCTCAGTTGGTTGGAGCACCGTCCTGTGGACCGGAGGGTTGTGGTTTTAGTCCCCATTCGGGGCGTGTACAAAAAGCAACCTATCAATGTTTCTCTCTCACATCGATGTTCCTCTCCCTCTCTCCCTCCCTCCCTTTCCTTCCTTCTCTCTCTATAATCAGTGAGCATGTCCTTGGGTGAGGATTAAAAAAAATGAAACCTTGCTATTTGTGACAACATGAATGGACCTTGAAGGCATTATGCTAAGTGAAATAAGTCAAAAGGAAAAAGACAAATACCTCATTCACATGTGTAACCTAAAAAAACAAACAAACATACCAAAAAAACAAAACAAAAACAAACCTATAGATACCGAAAATAGATCAGTGATTACCAGAGGGGGAGGAGGGTGTGGGGTGAGCAAAAGCAGTGCAGGGGTCAACTGTAGACTTTGGGGATGATCACTTTGTAGTGTATACAGATGTTAAGTTATAATGTTATACACACAATTATGTATAGTACATAATACTTGATAACAATATTAAACTAAACAACTATGTCACTGGTTTATGTATTTAGTATATTAGACTTTTTATTGTTATTTTAGGGTCTACTCTTTCCACTTACAAACAATGTTTGCTGTAAAACAATATGCTGTGTTACTTCTGCAGCAGCCTCATACATTTTATGTTTACTAGGTCTCTTCTTTTTTCTTAAAATACTAGGCCTCTTGATTACATTTTTTTCTTGTACTTGATTTAATCTTGTGTTGCTTCCTACAGTAACAGGCTGTGCAGGCTTGTGGCCCAGGAGCAATAGACTATGCCACATTGCCTAGGTGTGTAATAGGCCGTACCATCTACGTTTGTGGAAGGGCACTCTGTGGCATTCAGACAATGACAAAATTGCCTGACAATGCATTTCTCAGAACACAGAGAATATATCCCTGTTGTTAAGCGGGGCATGACTATACTAACAGTATCGTAGGTGCCTCACACTGTAAAATTAGGTTCTCATCTCCCTCCTTACCACCCAGTACTCCCCCACCCCTTCCACCTCACAAATCCTTTTATCAAAGCCAATGACATTTACATCCCTGCTTTTCAGCCTTCTCCGAGGCATCCTGAATTGATTGATTCTGAAAACTGAAAATCAATAGAGTGACCGTATAAGTCTCCTTCACTGTAGAGTCAAGCTATGCCCCAGTTACAGCTCAGTTATCACATCAGATGGTATCTTCTTGGAGCTTTTACCTGCCTTTCTCTTACACTGTTTGTCTTTGTCATTGCCCTGTTTGTTTGCAAACTACTCAATGCATTATATATTAAATATTTTTTAAAGGAAGCAAGCCTAATTATCTAAGTGTGTTCAGTTTGTAAAACTTCATCAAGGTATACACCTGTATGTGCACTTTTCTGTGTTTATATTACACTACAATTTTTAAAAATTATGAAGGGCCCTGGCTGGTATGGCTCAGTGGATTGAGTGCTGGCCTGCGAACCAAAGGGTCGCCGGTTTGATGCCCAGTCAGGGCACATGCCTGGGTTGCGGGCCAGGTCCCCAGTTGAGGGCACACGAAAGGCAAGCACGCATGGATGTTTCCCTCTCTTTCTCCCTCCCTCCCCCTCTCTCTTAAAGAGCATTTCCTCTTTCCTCATGAACTCTGAAGGAAGAAATACCAAGAGAGAAATAATTTTGTAGAGCACACTTACATATTTATATTGTTTATCAGCCATACTATTATAGTAGTACACTATAGTTAATATATGATAGTATAGCACATTATGTTAAGTTTATCACCTCTATTATTAACAAAATGTGTCCTGTACATAGCATAATATCTATCTGCTAACACTAATAATGATGACAATAGCAACAGCTAACATATGTTTACTGAGCACCTCCTAAATGGCAGACATTGCCAAATGCTTTGTCTTATCACATTTAATCCTCACAACAATCCTATTATTATCATCTTATTATTATTACAATATTACATTATTATCATATTGTTATAGATGACTACATTAAAGTTTTGAGAAGCAATTTGCCAAAAGTCACATTGGCTACTTAACAATAATTTCTGAGCACATACTATAGATCTGACACTATTCTAAACACTAACTATATTGACTTATTTAATCTGCAAAACAATGAGTTAAGTAGCATCATTATCCCGATTTAGCAGATGAGTTAACTGAGGCACAGAGAAGTTAAGCAAATGTGTCCAAGGTCGCCCAGCTGGTTAATGACTCAGCTGAGCTATGAATGCAAGCAGTCTGGCTCCAGACTGTAACAGCTGACCTATATACCACTCAGGGGTGATGGCAGAAATTTGAACTTGAGCAGTCTGACTCTAGGAACTATGCTATTCATTGTTCTGTTGTCCTGCCTGGCAATTAGATCAACTAACGTTTCAACAAGCAGTACTTGGATGCCATTCTGCCTCCGCACATTGACAGGAAAGGAAGCAGTGAACAAGTGGCAAGTTCAAATACGGGAAAGGGGGGACAAAAGTAGGTTTATAGTTGTTCATATGGAAAATAATATAGTAATTAATAAATAATAATACAAGAATAAACTCTGCATTTCACATACTTACAACTATAAACCTACTTTTGTCCCATCCTGTAATAGGCCGTTTCTTTAAACAGCTAATACTCACCTCCAAATCACCTCTACCATCAGACTTCCCTAACTCCATCTTTCTCTACTGCCAGTGCATTCTAGAGATACTTCTCAAATAGCACTCACTAGAATGCATTCTGTTGTGTGAAGACAGGGAGGCCAGCAAGCTCCTCAAGGCCAGAAGCTGCCCGTCCCAGGCTTGGCACCCGGGAGGCCCTAACCCTGACTTTACGAGCGGCTGATGTCTCCTCATGCAGGCTGCTGCACGCCTATCCCTGCACCACTCACCCTGGTTTAATGCCAATCTTGCCCACTGACTGGTGACCACAAGGGCAGGGACCATCTATTCCTAGCACAGTGCCTGGCACACAAGAGGCCATATTTACGTATTTGTTGAATGAATAATGATCACGTGCTTAAAAACCCGGAAGGATATAAGTGTGTAAAGAAAAGTTCCATGCTTACCTCAATAACGCATATCTGGGGCTCCTCCTTATGACCATCCACAGGCACCATGGCTTGATTCATAACCCACTCCTGGACAGCATCAGTAATGTGAGGGACAACTGTAGAAGGAAGTAATTAGCACAAAAGTTTATTTCATGGTCATGAAAAGGGAATGTATCAGTCCTGGCTGGTGCGGCTCAGTGGATTGAGCGCCAGCCTGAGAACCAAAGGGTCGTTGGCTGGATTCCCAGTGTAGAGCACATGCCTGGGTTGTGGGCCAGGTCCCCAGCAGGAGATGTGCGAGATGCAACCACATATTGATGTTTCTCTTCCTCTCTTTCTCCCTCTCTTCCCCTCTCTAAAAAGAAATAAAATCTTTTTTTCAATCTTATAAAATAAATAAAAAAAGGGAATGTATCAGTCTTTAGATCTCCCAAACACCCTGGCAAATTAGACAAACTACAGTTCTAATGCTATCATCTTCCTTCACTGAAATTAATACTACAGGTGCAGTATACATGTGGACATTTAAATATTATGCCTTTTCTCTGGAAACCGACCAACCCCACAGAACAAGAAACAGAAAGCAGAAATGCCATGGTCGATGCAACTAGAAAACAACTATAATGCCAACGAAAAACTGTGCCACGAGGGCTGCCTAGGCTGCTGAATGCAAACTCCACAGGGAAGAAGGGTGCAGAGTGGCCACGCAGGGTGGCGGACCATGCAGACCCTCGGCAGCCCACCAGCCAGTGGGGAGGGGGCCACTCAAGAGAGTATAGAGGTCTGCCTGCTGACAAGGGGCCTGCAGTTGATAATATCAGATGAAGAAGACAAAAAGTGACATCTCTGCAACCATGTGAGGCCCAGGAGCTCCTTGAGTAGTAAGCAGGCCTACAGTTAGCAATCTCAACTGAAGAGGCACAAAAGTGACATCCACGTAGGTGGCCCAGCCACCTAACCTGATGTGGCTGCTGGAAGTAGGAACGTTGGCCTTCAGGAAACTGAGGCGAAGGTGCATCCGTCACCTGCCTCGTCTCATACCTGCAGAGCCTGCAAGGCAAGAGGAAGTTGTCTTTGATGGGTGTAGCTTTGGAAGAACCCACTGTGCACGCCCAGCCCACCCCTTTCTGGGAGGATGAGGTCGGCCAAGTTTTGCCTCCTCACCAGCAGTCCAGCGGTAAGGGTGCGGGACCCAGGTTTGGGGTCTTGCCCTCTCCTCCATTGTTGGGACATGGCAGGTATGAGCCCAAAAATGGCAGGTAGGGACTCTTCCTCCCACAGGTTTTCCCAAAACCTACACTTAAGGGAAAACTATTAGAAAGTACAGTTATACTGCAGATCTATGCCACACTGCCCAGTTTTGGCAATAACATGGCTGATCTTTTGATCTCCATCTGTCCTATTCCTTCATCTGTTTCTCAGCTGGCTCCAACTTGAAAGTGATTTAAAGGGGATGGGAAATTATCACCTTTACCCTACCATGTAGGAATGTATGAATATAAGACTTAAGAGGTGCCAAGGGGGATCTATTCTAAGAAAAAAGAGAACCATACCATCCAGGGAAAGGGTTGGTGGCAAAAGATCAGAGCATGCTACCTGCCACTCCAATTCAATCCTCCAGTCCCCCCCACAAAGCTGCCTTCCTTCAAAGGGAAGTAATCATCATGCATGCAAAGATACAAGAAAAAAAGAACACATTAAATAAAAGACAAAAAGCAAACCAAAAAAATAAAAATAAAAACCCTACACCCCAATCAGGTAAAAAAGATGAATAAATGGGTCTCTATGGATTTGATAAATAAAAGAGAGAGAGAGAAAGAGAGAGCTGGACTAAGGGAAACAATGGCTTTAGTAAAAAAGAAAAAAGAAGACTGATGAAAATAAATCAGTAACACAGAGGATGAACTTGAAACCTTTAAGGAAAATAAGAACGAAAAGAACGCAGGTGTTTGAAAAGCATTAGAACTCAGAGAGAGAGTGCCGGGACCCCTCCCTGTCTCGTCTATTTTGAACAGGGTGTGAGTGCTCAGCACACAGGGCTCTGTAATGTTTGTGGAATGTAATACCTTGTACTGTTTTCCCCAGGTAGTCACCACGCCTCTCTTTATTAATCACATGCTGATATATCTTCCCAGTGGTGATGTTGTTGTCCTTATAAAGATTAATATCCAAGAACCTTTCATAGTTCCCAAGGTCTAAATCAACTTCTCCACCATCATTTAAGACAAACACTTCACCTAGAATAAAAAGACAATGTAAAATTTTCAGATCTGCTTCCAGTAGATTATTTTTCAAAGATAGACACAGTTTATTAAACAGCCGCTAACTTATTTATAACCCATACTGTATCACTATTTCATGATTTTGATGGGAAAATCTAACAATTCAATTATACCCTTGAAAATGCATCAAGAAATTCTGGTATCCTATTATGGTATTTTTAAAAATGCTTACTGAAATTCTGTCTGAACAAATTAGCTTTCCAAACTCACCATATACCATATGAGGAAAGGGACTGTAAAACAGCAATTTTAAAAACTATTAGCAATTTACTTCAAAGCATTGGTATCCTGGACTCTGGAACTGGCATAAGAAAGTTTTGATTGATTCCCATCTTGGTTAAAGTCACAATTAAACACACGGTAGTTGGACAGTTCTCATGGCACAGGGCAGAAACACAAGAGAGACTGAACCAAATCATACCTTTGCACTGAAAATTCCTGCTTCAATAAGGCATATGTCATATTCACTAATAACCTATGGGACAAAACAAATCACATAGCCAAAGAAGGTGCCCAACCTCTCTGGTTTACTCAGGATTAAAAGGGCACCCAGGATGAGGGACTTACACTTTCAAAAGGAAAGTTCCAAACAAACCAGGATGAGCTAACCAGCCTACACGGCCAGAGTCCAAAGTCAATGGGACAGGGAAATTGACTCCATAGAAAGAAGTTGGGGGTCAGAGGGAAATGTAACTATAGAATAATGGTTGGAGAAATGTAATGTTGCTGGCTTTAGGGATGGGAGAGGGGGCTGAGAACCAAGGAATGAGGGTGGCTTCTAAAACTGGAAAAGAAATCTAAAAATAGAGAGCAACATCAGGCCAGGAACCTTCTATCTTTCTGCACCTGCATCTTTGCCCTCATGTTGCCCTTTGTGGTCACAATATGGCTGCTCTACCTCCAGCATTGCACATGAGTTCCAAGTGGGAAGAAAGGACAAACCAGGGGCAAAGGGCATGTGCCAGCAAAATCTTGGTAAGAGATTTATCAGAAGTATCCATCAATGACTTGTCTCTCAGGACTCAGTGACCAGAACTTGTCTCACATGGCTACCTTAAGCTGCAAGATATACATGCACTATTTCATTATCAGTCATTATTGAACAGTCTTTGAAATCACTACTAGAGAGTCACTATTTGGTAAGAACCATATTATGAACACTAACCCTTCCTAGCTTCACTTCAGAGCATTTGACAGGACAACTGGGCCATATATACAACAATTCAACTAGGAAATCCCTAATATCACCACTCATTCATTAAAATGGCTAAATCCAGAACACTGAAAACTCCAAATGCTGACAGAGATGTAGAACAATAGGAACTATCATTTTGCTGATGGGAATGCAAAATGGTACAGCCACTTTAGAACACAGTGTGGCAGTTTCTTGCAAAATTAAACATACACTTACCATAAAAAAAAGGAAGTTGGGTGATACTTTCAAACAAAAATACAATCTACCATTGACTTGAATAAGTCATTACACAGACAAAATGAAAATCAAATAAATCTAAGTTAATACAATGAGATACCCTTTTTTGCTTTTTGCTTTACTCTCAGGTTAGTAAATTTAAAAAGGAATAATATTTAGCAAGGGTATAAAGAATTGGGCCCCCTTCTTTTACACTGTTGATGAGGATGTAAATTGGTGCAAATGCATAGGCCTTCTTAGAAAATTCTGAGACAAGATGAAAAGTTGGAATTTGGAATTTTTCTGATTATAGAAAGGTAATATAGAATGCTTTCCATATATTATAAAAGACCCCAAAAGAAATCAATAATCAAACACATTCCAAGTAGAATAAAGACTAGAAATAGCCACAGCTTTATGAAGATTTTTCAATTTTCAAAACTTTTGGAAAGAGACTATAAATAGCCACAAACTTATGAAGAATTTTAAATTCTCAGAACTTTTTGGATTTCAGAGTTTTAGACAATGGATCATGAACCTAAAAACCTTTGACAATATGCATTATGTGTCAAAAGCTGGAAAAACATACCTAGGCATTTCTGCACGTAGGCATTTCTGTTTTAAAATAAATAAATTTTAACTGTCAAATAAGGAATTCTGCACCTAGCCATTTCTGTTTTTAAAAAAAATAAATTTCAAAGATTTCCATCACAGCATTGTTTATAATATCAATACATTGGAAATTATTTCTTATTAATGTTCAGATTCTCTGCAGCTTTTAAGAGTACAGAATATATAAAAATGTCCACAGCATATTCAGTTTTAGAAATTAGATTTAAAATAATGTAACTGTAAGAGTCAATTCATTTCAAGTTCAAAAACAAGCAAAATTATCTATGGTGTTAGAAGACAGAACAGCAGTTACCCTGGCAGTTTGAGGACAAAGGAAAATTTTGTTTATTGACCTGGGGGCTGGTTACACAGAATGTTCATTTTATCAAGGAGTACATTTATGATTTATATACTTTCCTGCATGTATGTAAAACCTTTAAAAAGAAAGCATTTAAGGGTTAATGCTTTTCTAAAAAAATAATTACTATATACATCGAAATGTCCACATTAATAATAGTCACTCCAAGAAGTGGAAAATTTTCTTCATGCCATTCTACATTGTCAATATAATCATCAATATATACTATATTGTCTGAATTTTTCTCTTAACAATGAAGTGTTACAAGAAATCTATTACTTTTATGGTAAAATAAAACAAAACATAATCCATACTTGCAAAAGCTAGAATGAAAATGGTTTCCTCAGTTTTCCAAAAGGGTGGACTGATTTGGAATGTTGTCAGCAATCTCAACAAAGTATAAATGACCATGAGAATATTGACATATTCATAACGTATGATCCAGCTACACTACTTCTGGAACTCTCTCCTAAAGAAATTACCCAACATACAAGAAAGAACTACAATTTAACCCAGGGCTTTATAAGGGAGGAGTGGTACTCTTTCATACCATGCTCATAAGGTGAAAAAGTGCCCGCATCAATGTTGATATAGGGGTCGATTTTGATAGCAGTAACTCGGAGTCCCCATGATTTTAGAATCGTCCCAATGCTGCTTGCGATGATCCCTTTCCCAATGCTCGAGATGACCCCGCCAGTGACCAGGATGTACTTCATTGGCAGAGGAATGGTTGGGTGCCAGCACCCAGATAGAGTCTGAAAGGTAATAAAATTAAGAGTCAGGGAAAAGAAATATTTTCTCAAACCAGTAAAGCAGAGAGTGTATTGTTAACCCAGAATTTCAAAAGCACACAACATTTTTCCACCTGAACTAAATATTGATATTTGAAACTTTTGAAACAAAGTCTTATCTTCGAGATTTTTAATTTTTGTCAATATGCAGGAAGCTGTGGTTATTTTCTGCAAGCAGAGGGACTGCCTCCATTGCCCTGATTTTCCATTTACCCACAATTTTATCATATGACAGACTTCAACATGAGAAAAATGTCTCTGGAATTCAGAAGCATGGTAAGATTTATAAAAGATCAGGTGTTGTTGTCAGATCTGTACAAGCTGTACTTGGGCAAGTTACTAATCCATTCTGTGCCTGTTTCTTCATCTGTGAAGTGGAGTAAAAATATCAGTCCCTTAAAATATTATTCAGCACTAAAAAGAAATGAGCTGTCAAGCCATGAAAAGACATAGAGGAAACTTAACACATATTACTAAGTGAAAGAAGCCAACCTGAAAAGGCTACATACTGTAGGATTCCAACTTTGTGGCATTCTGGAAAAGGCAAAACTATGAAGACAGTAAATAGATCAGTGGTTGCCAGGGGCTGGAGGCAGGGAGAGATGAATAGGTGGAGCACAGAGGATTTTCAGGGCAGTGAAAATATTCTGTATGATTCTACAGTGGTAAATATATGTCATTATACATTTCTTCAAACCCGTAGAATGTATAACACCAAGAGCAAACTCTAATGTAACCATGGACTTTGGATGATAAGATTGTGTCAATGTAAGTTCATTGATTGCAATAAATGTATCACTCTGGTTTGGGATGTTGGTAATGGGGAAGGCTGTGCTTGCAGGACAGAGGGTATATGGGAAGTCAGTACTTTCTACTCAATTTTGTGGCAAACCTAAAAATTGCTCTAAAAAGTAAAGTATATTTTTTTAAAAATCAATATTTAAATATGCCAGCATTAAAAAAATCTCCTAGGTAGTCCTGAGGATTAATTGAGTGAAGGTATAGATCAGAGGTCAGCAAACCAGGGCCCACTCACCACATCTGGCCCATTGTCTGTTTTTGTATGGTCCCCAAGCTAAGAATGTTTTTTACATCTTAAATGATTCAGGAAATATCAAAAGAAGATTTCATGGCACATTAAAATTGTATGAAACTCAAACTTCACTGTCCATAAATCAAGTTTTATTAGCACACAGCCACACCCATTCATTTATATATTATGGTATCTACGTTCACTTTCTTTCTACAGTGGCAGAGCTGAGTAGCTGTGACAATAGAGACCTCTGGCCCACAACGCCTGAAATACTTACAATCTGGCCCTTTACAGAAAATGTCTGCTGATGCCTGGTATGGAGGTAGTCAAAATCAACCCCTAAACTCTTATTCAACGTAGTACTGGAAGTCCTAGCCACAGCAATCCAACAAGAAAAAGAAATAGAAGGCATCCAAACTGGAAAGAAAGAAGTAAAACTCTCCTTATTTGCAGATGACATGACACTGTACATAGAGAATCCCAAATATTCCACCAAGAAACTACTAGAACTGATAAATGAATTCAGCAAAGCAGCAGGATACAAAATTAATATCTAGAAGTCAGTTGCATGTGTATATGCCAATAAAAAGCTAACAGAAAGGGAAATTAAGAAAACAATCCCATTTTCAATTGCTTCAAAAAGAATAAAATACCTAGGAATAAACCTAACCAAGTATGTAAAAGGCCTGTACTTGGAAAATTATAAGACACTGAAGAAAGAAATTGAAGAAGATACAAATATGTGGAAATGCACACCCATGTTCACAGATAGGAAGAATTAACCCTCATTACAATGTCCATACTACCCAAAGCAAGCTGTAGATTTGACGCAATTCCTATCAAGATTCCAATTATATATTTCACAGAGCTAGAACAAATATTTCAAAAATTTATATGGAACTACAAAAGGCCCCACATAGCAACAGTAATCCGGTGAAAGAAGAACAAAGTTGGAGGAATCACACTACCTAATATCAGGCTATATTATAAGACCATAGTAATCAAAACAGCATGGTACTGGCATAAAAACAGACATATAGATCAATGGAACAGAATAAAGAGCCCAGAAATAAGCCTACACCTTTATAGTTAATATTCAACAGAGGAAGCAAGCACATACAATGGGTTAAAGATAGTTTATTCAATAAATAGTGTTGGGGAAACTGGACAGATACATACCGAAAAATGAAATGTAAGCCATCTTCTTACACCACACAACAAGAATAAATTCAAAATGAATCAAAGACTTAAACATTAGACCCAAAACCATAAAAATCCTGGAATAAAACATAGGCAACAAAATCTTAGACGCTGCTCAAAGCAATATTTTATCAGATATATCTCCTTAGACAAGGGAAACAAAATAAAAAATAAATAAATGGGACTACATTAAAATCAACCCTTACATTAACAGATAGTAAGAACTTAAGAAGGTTACCTATTAACATCTTTTTTTTTTATGGTAACATCATTTTTTAAATGTTTATACACAGGTTTCAGGTGCACAATTTTACAACACTTAACATCACTATTAATAATAATAAATGTATCCTCCTTAATGAAGCATGCTGAACACTGAATCTTTTACATTACCTATTAGTTTTACCATGCAGAAATATCCAAGCAGGAAAAAAGTGTTACGTCATAAAAAAATTTTATTTGACTTTTCCATGGCTGTCTGATTTAAACTCTTGGGTTTAAGAGGCAGGCAGGGAGCCCATCAACTACTTGGTTTTCTCAACTTTGAGTACCACTGTTTTTCCCTTGAGCCTGTGTCTTTGTCCTTGCCTTTTCACCATGCATGTGAAAGTAAGCCATAACAGCATGATTTTTGTAGTCATGGATGACAGGTAAATGGGAAACTGAATGAGACCACTAACACAAAATTACAACTGCAAAAAGAAGAGAGACAGACAGACAGAAAGTAACTAACAAAAAGCTAATAACTATGGATCCCACTTTCTCATATAATTCACAAAATTTATTTTGAATACATGGAAATTAAGCACAAACGCACTCAGGTAGGAACAATTTCAATCGCCTGTTTATGTTATTTGTCCATCCTCCTCAAAGGAAAGCCCATCCTGATTTTGTACTTTCCTCTGTTTATCATACAAAGCAAACTATCTCAACTTCAAGGTGTGACATAATCTCACTTTTGAGCTGTGAGTTTAATTTGAACTAGTTGACCACGGCCAGGGCACGCAAATTGAAGGCATCCACAATATACATGTCCCATCCCAAATGGCTTCCTTGAGTCCTTTGGGCCCGCCTTTCAATACACAATACAGTTGAACTCCTTCAAAGCCACTTTGTCATCACCCACTCACTAAGCTAGATTTACTTTAAAAGATCCTCAATCCAAACCAAGAATACAGATCCAAAATGTATCTAAATGTTCATCTCTTCTCACTCCTTCTGGCCCAGGTAGTCACTGTAACGGCCATTTCTTCACGGCCTTCCCTTACACATCCCACCGGAGATTTCTTCTTTTGTGATAAGTGCCCTACTTCTGGAGTCAGAGAGCCTGGATTCAAGTGCTGGCTCTGTCCACTACTGCTATAACCCTAGGCAACTTCAGCTTTTGTAAATCTTGATTTTCTCTACCTATGTAGTACACGGAGATCATAACAGCACCTGCCTTATAGAGGTGTGTGGGCATTTAACAAGAGAGTGCCCAAGTACTAAAAGTTAGCTGTTAATGATTTTCCAGAGCCATCTCCTCACTGATTCAATCAGCTCGCAAATATTTACTGAATGTCAATTTTATTGAGTGTCTATCATACATGCTTGACATGTTCCTAGGTTTGGTGATATGGGGCTGAACAAAAAGTCAAGGTCCCTGCCATCTCGGACTTCACTTTTCCTGTGCAATTAAGAGGCAAATAAGCGGCACTGTAATTGTACTTTATTAGAGCACTGTCACACTATTAAAATGACTACCCATTTGTAAAAATTAGCCAAATCAAAAAATACTCCAAAAATGCCATAAAAAACGAGTGTATTCATATGAAGTCACATGATATGGTTGTCAAAAAGTCTACGGGTTTTTCGTGTAAGATATGCTTCTGATAACCCTGGCAGAGTGGCTCAGTTGGTTAGAGCAATGGCCAGATGCACCAAGGATGTGGATTTGATCCCCCATCAGAGCACATACAAGAACAACCAACAATGCATAAATAAGTTCCTCTGTTTCTCTCTCTCCCCCCATCTCTCTCTCAAATCAATTTTTAAAAGACATGCTTATGTTAAATGAAGAGAGTGGAATATAAAATTGAACATAATATTATCTCACTAATTTTTTAAAAACTAAGACTAGTCAAAGGTACATCAAAATGCAAAATTTTAATATATTTAATATATTTAGGTGGTTGGGGTGTAGGCAATTACTAGTTCTCTCTATTTTCAAAAGCACAAGATACCCTTTTAAAGCACATTCGATATTTTACAAAGTCCTTCTCGAAAATGTCACTTACTGTCAAAGAGACATCTAGTCTTTTTTACCTCTGTTAAGGAAACAAGTTAGTTTGCAGCAGTTTCAAAACAGCAGGAAAAGGCAGGCTCTTCTGGCTACTTCCTTGAATCCAGATGATTTTTTTCCCGTGTGGAGACAAGTTTTCATTACTCTCCTATGCAGTAAGCAGAACCAATTGTCTGTAAAATGGGAGTGTGTAGGGCTGCCCTGTCTGCTGTCCAATGAAAACATTACACAAGCCACCTATGTGATCTTGCCTTCTCTAGTAGCCATATTTAAGAAGAAACAGATGAAGTTATCATAAAAATCTTATTTAACCCACTGTATTTAAAATACTTTCATTTTAACACATAATCACTATAAGAATTTATTAGTGAGATAATCTATATCTTTTTTTTTTTTTTTTGACTAAGTCTTCTCAGATTAGGTGTGTCTACGCACAGCACATCTCAGCTGGGACTCGCCCAATTTCCAGTGCTCAGAGCCACATGTGGCTGCCACACTGGACAGTGCAGGCCTAAAGCAACTAAAAACATCAGAAGCACCGCGAGAGATACCTTGTCATCGACGACCCTTTGAAACGTAATATTAGAAACAAGAGTACTTACTGAATGATCTCATTTTATGAAGTTCTAGAATTGGCAAAACTAAGCTATGATAGAAATCAAGGGACTTGGTGGGGGCGGGGGGCGTGTGGATTGTCTGGAAGGGACACGAGGGAACTTTCTGGAGTGACGGAAATGGTCTATGTCTATGTCGGGGCAGTGGTTCGATGGGTGTATAATTTGTCGGACCCTGATCTGCACATTTTAAAGGTGGCATTTTATGGCATGTAAATTATACATCAAATCTGTAAACATTGTTGCAAAAAGAAAGCTATTTTGTAGCAGCAGCATACTTAGGCACGGTGTCCCCTAAGGAGATGATCTGAGGAAAATGCGAGGGTAGTTGTTTAAGGAGTGCACCGCGGGAGGAAGGGACAGAAAGGGCATTTCACTCCGCGCGGGGCTTCACTTCCGCCAACGCCATCTCGGGGCTTTCGGGGCTCCCGAGGCCCGAGAGAAATGGGGCGGAGAGAAGCGCACCCCAGAGACACGACACTACCCACCCCAGATCGCAGCCGCCGCAGGGCGGGCTCCGACCGCGCTGGGCACCCTGGCAGCGGGCCCAGCCCCGCACCTCCTGGGTCTGCGTGCGCATAGTGCGGAGATGCGCCTGGTCGCCAGCCTCTCTTGGACTGGGCGCGAGCGCCATCGAGGAGAGGACAAAGGCTCCTGGCCTCAAGCGCGCGCCAGGGCTGGCGGAGCGGGTGGGGAGGCCCTGAGGACGCGGGGTGGCCGGGCCCGGAGGCCTCGGGGGTCCGGTGGAGGACCGGGAGGAGGATTACCTGCTCTGCGGTGGTGGCTCCCGGAGGGTGGCTGGTGGGTACGGCGAGCTCCGCCCCGTGGCCGGTCCGCGCTCACCTGTCGGGCTGGGTAGGGGGCCGCCGCTAGGGGTGTCCCGGAGTCTCCCCCGGGTCCTTCTCACCGCCAGTGCAGGCCTCGGGGTGCACGGCGTCCCTTTAGCCCACCTTTCCCTCTCCTGCCGCCGCCTGCCCCGCTGACTCACGCTAGTGAGCTTGGGGTTTGTACCCAGGTTTGTGCAATGCAACAAAAATCAGCGCCTAAAAAGTGACTCCTCCAGCAGAGAGCTTCCCGTCATTCTCCGCCCTAGAGGCGCTTGGCCCCAGGCCTCGCTCTGCCCCAGGACTGCTCCTCCCCTCCTCGGCTCATTTAGCAAAAGCCTTCGGGGCCCCAGGTGAATACCACTCCCCCCGCAACCCCCACCCCGAGCCCAGGCCACTCGGCGCACCGAACGCCTTCTGTGGGTCCTCCGGTCCTGTTCTCACCCTGTCCCAAACGTTTGTGGGTCCCCTGCTGCACTCCAGGAACTGCAGAGGCGAACCGCTGAGGACCAAAATAAGACGGGGCTCCTGCCTTTGAGGAACTCAGTCTGGGGGGAGGGCTACACATCTATTGGAACCAGTAAGGTTCCTAGAACAGTACTCGTGTAGAAAAGAAAATGTGGGGGGCGGGGGCGGACAATGAGGACTTCGTAAGTGACTTTATAACAGGATTTTTGTAGGATGGTTGGTCCTGAGAAACGATAGAGTAGATTGTAAAAGCAAAGGGAAAAACAAACCCAAAACACTGAAGGAGAAAGAATCTAACTATGGACAATGGAGGGTTTGGGGATGAAATGCAAGGGTTAGGCAAGTGGTTAAAAGTTTGACCAACCAGTGTAAGTCACTAAAGTGCCAAGCTGGGCAAATGTCATTGAACAGCTGGCGGAGTTTAGAAACCATAATTGTCCAATGATGCCTAATTATAATTTTACAGGGTATCTACAGGTAGGTACGTAAGTATAGATAGTTATGTCAAAACCAGAGTTTGAGTAGAAAGACAAGAGAGTGAGGAAGTTGAAGGCCCTGAAAGAATGTGGTTGCACTAGAACAGGCTCTAGTTCACAGAGGAAAGAAATGGAGAGCAGCAGGGAGCTGACAGACTGGAAGAAAGAGAAGAGAAGGACCAATGACAGGAGCCCATTCAAATGAGGGAACTGGCCAGTTGTTGCCCGTGTGATGTTGGTATTGAAGGTGGCAAAGGGGAAACACTTCAGATGACATGGTGCAGGGGGTGTCCAACCCATAGCCCGCGGGCCACATGCAGCCCAGGATGGCTATCAATGCGGCCCAACACAAAATCATAAATTTACTTAAAACATTATGAGATTTTTTTTGTGTGTGATGTGTTGCAATAAATTTAATGTGTGGCCCAGAGATGTCAAAAGGCTAGACACCTCTGTTTTGGGCTTTGATGGCTGATACAGAGCCAAGCGAGATGGGCATTGCTGGCATTGGGCCTAGCAGCCACAAGGCTAGTGTAAGGAACATCAAGACTTGGAGGAGTCCGTTGAAGCCAAGAAACCATGCCTTCAGTGGATGCGAAGGAATGACTCTAAAGCTAATAGATGACACCAACAAGGCAGGGTAGAGGGTTGTAGGGAAAACATAATGAGTTTCAAAACGAAAGGGAGTTTTTCCCCCTAAGAATGACAAAGCAGTGTTGTAGAAGGATCTGGGCTTACTGATGTCAATTTCTGGGAAAACAGGCAGAGCCTCCACTCAGCAGGAACCCGAGGGGAGACCCAGGTGTCCGCAAAGACCAGTAAAATAAACAAACTCTAAAGGAAACACCTTGTAAAAAGGCTGGAGGTGTAGAATAGTTTGCTATGAAACAAGTCCTCCAGAGAATCTAGTAGAAGGATGCTTGTGAAATGCGCTGAAACGATGGTGATAGCTAATACCTGCCATGTATGTAAGGTTTCCTTCCACATTTTGGTACTTCATCTCCTTTTGACAAACAGGACAGTCATTACGAACTCCATTTTGTAATGAAGAACCTGAGACTTAGAGATGTCAAGTGCCCTGACCAAAGGTGCATTAGTTAATATAAGTAGCAAAACCAAGACATTGTGGGAAGGAAAAATAATTTTTCCTCCTATCCTTTCCTTTTGCTGGACTAATCAAATGAACATGAGATACATTAACAGGAGAAACTGACCAAATTTATTACATATGTGTATGCAGAGGTTCCATAAGACTATGAAACCTGAGAACAGGTCAGGCAGAAGGGCAGGGGCGTTTGGGGGACTTCAAAGACCAGGAAGGCAATTCACGTGGAGTTGGGAAAGCAAATGTTTGGTAAAGAAATGTTTGCTGGGCCATCTTTTACAATGTGACACAGAGAGAACTTTGATCTAACAGGCTTTGCTAGGTTCCTCCCTGTCTACCACATACTAGTTGATATTAAACTAGTCATCTGAAGATATCTCCCTTCTTGGAGGAGGTCCTCTATTTAAATTCTTTTAGACCTTTAGGGGGAAGGTCAAAGATTCTCCCTGTCTTTTGTTTCCAGAAAATAATCAGCTTAAAAGAATCAATACCCCAAAAAGCATATTTTGAGGTGGCAAACTCTGCTTTCCCTTGACATCAATACAAAAAATCTCTTCCCAAAGTCAGACTCTTCACCACATGACGGAGGGCCTCATCTTTTTCATATCCTATTAGTTTATGAGGCTAATGGAGAAAAGGTATTTTGTGAATACAGAGAGGTTCTTACGGTAACTTTTGTATTACTAATCCAAAATGGAAATAAAGTGAGCAAAAAACAAATTAGACAACACGGTTGAGATTAACTGATTTGTGCGGGGGGATAAAGGTGTGCCTTCATTCTGCAAATGTTTATTCATGGCCTACTACCAGCATAGCGTTGAGGATAAAAAAGAGATGGAGAAAAAGTCCGCCATTGAGGTAATCTGTGTCTTTTTTCATTTTTTATTTTGAAGAAGTCTACCTTTCAGAACAACTTTAAGACTTTCTGTTCCCTGGGGAACACAGCATTCACCATTGTTGGGGGCGCTCCTGGAGATAAAGCAAAAGTAAAGCTGAATGCGCTGGGCTCTGCCTCTGCTTTTGGCAGTCAGTACTAGATTCCTGTTGGAGATGAAGAAACTTGAAGACTAAGCAGTCAGAGTTGTCTACCTACTAGATGGTGGAGTTAGACCACCACCCCCCAAGCTTCCAACTGAAATTCCAGGTTTATTCCAATCACATTTAAACCAAATATCCTTTTTCTGGAAAGCGTTGACCCTTTCAGGTTCTCACTGACTTAATAAATCCTAGAGAGGCATTTGTCCTCGGATGTCTCCCAACTTTCAAAGATGAATTAATACCCAGACTCTATAAAAACAAGTTGGAATGTCATTGATGCCACCAAATTATACATTTAAGAATGGTTAAAATGACAAATTGTGTTATATATAATTTACTGTAGTTTTAAAATTTAATAGTGTGATATACCAGAAACCATTGATTTGTACACTTTAAACTAGCAAGTGGTATGCTGTGTGAATTATATCTCAATAAAGCTGTTCAGAAAAAACAAAACAAAATGGGTTGGACTTGTTAAACTAAAGTCCCAGACCTGAATTGTAAACATACCTCAGGCTGAAAAGCAGAGCAGGAAAATCAGAATTGTAATCCATCCCCCACATATTCACTGGAACTAGGCCACTCTACTCAAAATGTTGGAAGGAGGAGGAACAATGGGTGTCCTTTGCCAACAGATCGCTTGAGTCTGTGTTTGGGAAATACATTCATGAACTCTGCTCCAAAGGGGCAGTTGTTCACTTGGGCAGTTTTTTTTTATTCGTTTGTTTACATGTTATTATGGAAAAAGTTAAATGTATAGAAAAGTGGACATAATAGGATAACCACAGTTTCAACAATTATCAATTCATGGCCAGGGTTGTTTCATCTACCCATTTCCCCCCATCCTGTATAAATTTGAAGCAAATGCCATCCATTCTATCATTTCATTGGTAAACACCTCAGTATGACTAAAAGATAAGAATGCTTTTGAACACACACATGCACATACCCTGTTTGCACAATTTAAAATTTAACAATTCCTATGTCCATCGACAGATGAATGGATAAACAAAATATGGTGTGACATACAATAGAACGTTATTCAGCCTTTTAAAAGGTAGCCTTTCTTAAGGCAGAATTTTAAAGAAATTCTGACACATTGTACAATATGAATGAAACTTGAGGACATTTGCTAAGTGAAATAAGTCAGTCACAGAAAGACAAATATGGTACGATTCCATTATATGAGGTTCCTGAACTAATCAAACTCATACAGAAAGTAGCTTGGCAGCCAAGGGCTAGGGGGGGGGGAGAATAGGGAGTTGTTTTAATGGGCACAGAATTTCAGTTTTTCAATACGAAGAGGGAGACTGTTTGCAAAAGAAAGTAAATGTACTTAACACTACTGAACTGTACACTTAAAAATGGTTAAGATGGTAAAGTTGGTGTATTTTACCCCAATGAAAAAATTTTAAAATTTAACAATTCCATAATTTCATGATCCATCCAGTGCCCAAATTTCCAATTCTTATTAAGTCATACATTTTCCCCAATACGTTTGTTTGCATTAGGACCCAAATAAAATTCATGAATTGCCATGCATTGTCTCTTTAAGTCGTCTTTAATCTATAGGGTTCTACTTCTCCCTTTCCTTGCAATTTATGTTAGTAAACAATGTCATTTGCCGTGTGGTTTCTCACAACCTAGATTCTGCTGCCCGCATCCCGTGGTATCCTTTAATACTTTTCCTCCATCCTCCGCATTCCCTGCAAATCGGTAGTTGGACCTAGACGGCCTGGACTAGTTTTGATTTCGTTTCAGGAGGAGGCTAAAGAAATCCATCTCCACATGCCGGCCCAGCTGTACCTGAAAAAGCGAAGCTAAGTCACCAGTCAAGGTGCTTGGAGTGAGAAAGAGGCCCTTCACACGCGTACGTCAGTCACTAGAAGGCTGCAGATGGAGGGAAAGGGGCGGGGCAGACCTATGTGGGAAAATCCCTTTGTCAGCTTTCCACGCGCGTAATAAATTACCCAAATAACCAGCGGGGCGGGGCCTTTGGCCAGAAGTGACGCACACACGGCCGGCGTCCGAGTTGCCATAGAGGCGGAGAGAAGGATAGATTGGCAGCGCTGGGGTCTCACTTCCGGCCATCTCAGTGGGAGACGCGTACTGTGGAGTCAGGGTTAGGCGGTAGCTGCTACAGTCTACAGTGACCGGGACCGCAGCGGCGGCGGCGGCGGCGGCCCCGCGGGCGGGATGTTCCGGGGTTTGAGCAGTTGGTTTGGCTCGCAGCAGCCGGCGGTGGGTGGCCGCCAGCCCGAGGAAGACGGGCAGCCCGGGGGAGACGTTGCACCCGAGCCGCACTCCGAGGCGGTGGCGGACTCGGCTGAAAAGGAGCTCCTTCACCAGGCTAAAGGCCTCGGCGGTGAGTCTGCCCGGGGACCAGAGAGTGTCGGGAATGCCCGCAGCCTTCGGTTTGACACCCCTGGGCGCGGCTCAACATGATCGGGGGCTGTGGGGCGAAGGGAGGAAGGTGTTTGCGGGTCGACCCTTGCAGGATGGCAGAGGTTGGTTTGGAACTGGGCAAAGGGAAGCCTCATCTATCAGCCAGATCCCGTGCCTGAAGTTTCTGATGACATGTCACTTTTTTTTTTTTTTCCAATTGATTTGAGAGAGAGCGAGAAAAACATCGATTTGTTGTTTCACTTATTGATGCACTCCTGGTTGTTTCTTGTATGTGTCATGACTGGGGATCCAACCCACAACCTGGTCGTGTTGGGACGACGCTCTAACCAACTGGGCGACCCGGCCAGGGGACATGTCACTGTTTACAAAGTGTAAGCAGTAGGAGCAAAGCCTCAGTAGAGCGGTGTGGCTCGACCTCTTTAGGTTTGACAAGGAATCGTTTTTGTTCAACTCCCCAACTTTCACTTCCACAACTTCCTATCCCAAGGACAGGGCCCTTCCGGAGCTTGAGTGGGTTGAAAAAGTGACTTTTTGCCCTTAGGGAAGAATGTATTGTCGGGAGTAAATTGAGGAAGAGTTACTGAAGGCCTTGGCCAGGCTCATCTTCTTTTTAAGTGCATGGGACCTTTCTTCTTAACTCGAGAAAGTAACTGTCCTTTTTTTCCTGTGATGTGCAAGTTTGAGTACTAGATGTTTTATGAATAATATCTCATTTCATCTGTTAAACAGCCCAGTGAGTTGGGAGAACAAGCCCAGAGTTGTCACCCTAACTTATAGTGATAGCAAGTTGTAGCAGTGGAATCTGAACCTAGATCTCTCTACTCCAAAGCCTATGTTCTTTCCAAGTTTACTGTATAGTTTAGGGAGGAGAGTAAAAAGTAGATTTGAAGAATAAACATATGCCAGAGTAATTCTGATTCTAGAGAGACCTTGGCAGGCTTAAATAGTAGACGAAAACCTCTTTGAAAAGGTAGGCCCTAAAGCAGGCAGCACTACAAGTGAGAGAACTGCAGCAAAGATAGATACTACATTCAGCAAGCATTTGGGAAGAATCTGCTGAAAGGCAAGAGCAGTAGGGGAAAGCCTGGAGCCTAAGAGTGAGAAACACATATTTGAATAAGAAAGGCTCTAACTTTCAAAAACTTTACTTTGGCATGGAGGGGCAGAGAAAACAGACATAACCTGAAATCGTGGTAGTGTATAATCTCAGCCCAAGAACCCCAAACGGTGCACAAGAGAAATAAAACTGTGTTTGTAATAAAATCACTACACAGGGAATGACTGTTTCCTGTATAGAAAATTAGAAGAGCTTGGAGTGTTGGGGAGTTATGAGGAGATGAATTTGACCAGAGCAGAGAGGCTATGTTAGGTAGTTGGGATAGATAAAAGTTAGGAAAAGTAGGCTATGGGGATCTACTCAGTTTCATAGAACATAGAGAACCAGTTTTATTTATCTTCAGGGGAGTATCAAAACTGGCTTCTGAAAACTTTGTGAGGGCTTTATTGAAACCTCATGTTTATATTTAGTACTAAAGACTGAATATTTTGAAATAAATGTATATTCGACATGGATGTCTATTTCGGAGTCTAGTGCTGTGATCTCTTTTCTGATCATATTCTCCTAATGTTTGGGGAAGCTAAGGTGGAAGTATCTCCCCCCACTTCCCATGCCCGCACACATTATGAATTTTAAGTTTCCGAATAAATGCAATCTCTTTGAGCTCTACTATTTATGTGATTTTAAAAAAATGTAAAGATTCTAGTTTACATACAAACCTTCAGAAAGACGAGATGATCACTTGGTTTTTATTTCTATTTATTGATCATAAGAGGTGTGCTATCTTTAAAAAAGACACATCTGTGTTTTGAAAACTGAAATTAAACATCTGTGAGCCTGACTCCCATTAAGCAGATTAGTTTCTTTAGCCTTTTAAAATTTACGTGGGCTCTCCCAGGAGCCCCATTTGTTCTGTAAACATTTCTTGAGTGCCTCCCTTCAAGATTAGACCCTAAATACTTTTTTTTTTAGATTTTATTTATTTATTTTTAGAGACGGACAGAAACATCAATGTGTGGTTGCCTCTCGCGCGCCCCCTACTGGGGATCTGGCCTGCAACCCAGGCATGTGCCCTAGACTGGGAATTGAACCGGCGACCCTTTGGTTCACAGACTGTTCTCAGTCCGCTGAGCCACACCAGCCAGGGTTGGACCCTAAATACTTCTGCTTCATGATGACCTATTTATAAATTTAAGCAACTCACCAGTTATGAGTAGTGGACACCCAGGCACTGCCTCTACCAAAACCAAATCTTCCCATCTTTGGCCCTCCCTCCTGGTAAATTTAGGACCTCCTACGATCACCTGCTTCAGAAGAGGGCCGTTTATAAGCAAACTCACTAAAGAACTTCTCCGCACCTCCTTGAAATCCTCATGTCTCAAAGTAACTTCTTATTCACAAATTGGTTGTGTGGTTTTGTTACAGTCAAGCAAATTAGATCTTTATCTGCGCCCTTTCTTTTTTTTTAAAAAAAAGGTATCTCTGAGAGTATTAAATATCTGAGTTCTACGCATAGTTTACATAAGTGGGAGGTGGCCAAAGATGAGCTTTGTTTTTTTCAAAACCGTCCCTAAAGCCAGTTCATGCCCAGGGAATAGAGGAAGGGCCACCTGCTCTTCCTTCTTCTTTAAAAAGTGCTATTAGTATTTGCAGTGGAACTGTGTAAATTAGGCCACTCGCCTCCTTTTCTCTAGGGAAAGTGCATTTCAAGTTCTAGATGCCTAAGTTGATGAGTTTACAACTGAGAGGACTCCAAAAGTTAGTGTTTGCAGAGGAAAATACATGTCTTCTTTGGTATAAAAGTAAAACCCCCAATTCAGTTCTGATGACAAAACCAGGTTTACCATGAGGAGGGCAGTGCAAATGGTCAGGAGCTTGGATCCATGGTTTATGAGCAATACTAAAAAAGAACTGGAGATTTTAGTTTGAAGAAGAAACTTAGGAGCATTGCTTAACATTCTGACAGGTTTTTTTGTTTTGTTTTTGTAGAAAGAACGGTCATTTTATGTTACTTAAGGGTACAGATCTTAGTCGGAGAGGTACAGGTGACAAGGGAAGTAAAAAGAGTTTTATTTTGTTTTTGTTTTAAGATTTTATTTATTTTTTTAGAGAGGGAAAGAAAGGGAGAAAGAGAGGGAGAGAAACATCAATGTGTGGTTGCATCTTGCACACCCCCTGCTGGTGAGCAGGCCTGCAACCCAGGCCTGTGCCTGACTGGGAATCGAACCGGTGACCCTTTGGTTCACAGCCCAGCATTCAATCCACTGAGCCACACCAGCCAGGGCATGATTATACCTACTCTTCACAGAATGGTCATGAGACTAAAATGACGTAATGAAAATGAAGATATGAGAATGACTGTAGTGTTCGTGATCTGTCCTCTCTTTTCATAAGGCTTTAGAGGCATATTCACTCACAGATGTTTTACTTCATTTTCTTCCTTGTTTCAGACCCTCTCTTGTGCCTAAGTTCCTGAAGTGAACATTGTACTTCTGTTACGTCCTGTTAACTCTTACCTTAGTCTCAATTTTTCTAACCACTTATTAAAAACTGTCTTTAACTTGATGTCGAATGATCTCTTTGCAAAATTAATAAACCACTTCTTGTCTTTATGAACTTCTTACCTAAAAGTCTCCTGTCATACTCTGCTGCTTCCCTCTCCCTCTGTCATCAGAACCCAGGCCACTGTCTAATTACTTCCGGGAGACCTTCTCTCTCTCTTCTCTGAATGCTTCTGTTTAGCAAATAATCTTGCCCCTCTGGTTGTCTATCTCTTTTGTTTGTTTAATAATGGACATTTCTTGAGGGAAAGAACTGTGCTCTCTCCCATATTCAGTGTGTGTAGTGTACTTCACCCATGAAGTCATTAAAACCTGAGAATTGAGATTATTATGCTCGAATACCAGTTTTTAAATGAGTCATCCCTTGGGAGGGGGAATGTCAATTCTAATTCCAAATGTATTCCTGAGAAATCTCAAAGGGAACCCTGCTGTTTTAGAACTTTAGATTACTTTATCTGCAAAGAATGTTTTTACAAAGTAGTGTGGCTGTCTACCCATTTTATCATACCACTGTGGGTAAATAGACTAGTCATAACCAAGGTAAAATGAGGGATCTTTCTAAAGCTCAGGACTTACGATGTCAGTCCCCATTTACCCATCAATAAGTACTTATTGGTCGCTCCCTGGGTGAATCTGAGAGCCTGGTCCCTGCCCCCGGGGGGCTTAGGATGGATCTTCAGTCTCGCTGAGAAGGCAGATTCGGTAGCATCATGAATGTTGTTGCCTGAACAGCACAGATGCTGAGAGGCGCCTACTTCAGTCACGGAGTAACATTTCCCAGGAAGTGATACGTATGCAGAGACCCACAGGATGTGTAGAGTTCGCCAGGTAAAGAGAGGGCATATAAAACTGTTTCAAACCAAGAAAAAAAGTATTTGAGGCCTCCTTGGAGATACTGAAGAATTTCTGTGGTCATATGAGTGTAGAATAGGAGTGGGGAGAACGGTGAGGATGAGAACAGAACAAGTGGTATCCTGTGGTACAGTCTCCATGGGGTGTGGATGTCAATGACAGATGGGTGTCACCAGACCCAATGGGAAAAAGTGGACTGTTTAACAGTAAGGGATTTGGGAAAGAGAGAGAGATGGTCATTCAGCTTGGCACATCGTGCCCTGCTCCCAGATAGCAGTATAAGTTGCCTGATTCTCTGAAAATGACACTGCCGAGTGAGGATTCAATCAGGTGTACCAAGCTCCCTTTGTCATTCTTATTGGGGATTTCTGCCTGCCTGAGCATTGTGAGTCAACCGCCCTTGCCCCTCAGCAGGTGCAAATGGCAGAGGCGAGGCTGCTCTGACAAGATTCAAAGGCCAGTTGTCCTGGAGCGTCCGCCAGCAGGTCCTGCTTGAGGACCTACCTGAGGTCACTTCCTGTGGCCCAGATAGTGCAGAGTGTGAACTTTGGGATGATATTTGTCTACATACAAGCCTTTATATTTTATATTCTAGTGCAATAGAGCCTCAATACATATGTATTTTCAGGTCATCAGGAAAGTTTTATGTGTTTGTTTTGTAAAGGTGAAAGTTTGTGTCCTCCATTTTAAATTTTATTTTATGTATTTGCTCGTTTTTAGGTACGAAGGATTTCTATTTATATTAGGGCTTGTCAAGATTTCTATTTATTAAAACTCTCCCAGATTTATCATGTGATGGGTTAATCTAGAAAGGAGGGACATTTTTTTTTCTCCAAACAAGAGGGAAGAAGACAATAAAGCTGGGATGCTTAGGGTCTAGGAAGAAAGGAAAGGAAAAAAGGAGCCTTGATCTCATTTGTATAGTTGGAGGGGAGATTTTACTGAGGTAAGTTAGAACTAGAGACTTGGAGAAGGGGGAAACAAGTTTGAAACAGCTACTGGGGGAGAACTGGGGAGTTTGCTAAGGGTCTTTGAAAGAGATGACTTAAAGGCCCAGTATGGCTGGCCAGTCCGCCAACAAAGGGGAGAACTGGCAGTGTCGCTCATTTTTTTGTTTCAGGTCCTAATTAATAAGGAATCTGCCCTATGATTTAGGATTCTTACCAGAGCTATTTATGGGAGAGATTACAAATACAATAACCATTGTACTGGAGTGAAGCATAGACTCTTTTTTCGTTTTTTATTCTTTGTAGACTATTTATTTAACTTCGCAACTGCCGCGACAAAAAAGATAACTGAATCGGTTGCTGAAACAGCACAATCGATAAAGAAATCAGTAGAAGAAGGAAAGATAGATGACATCATCGATAAGGTACATTTAAATATCTTCTCGTAGTAGATATTTGTGAAATTCATTAGCAGCTAATTTTGTCTCATGAATTTTATTAACTGAAGTAGGATATTATATTCTGATAAAAATAATAACTGAGATTCTTGGTTTTTTTCTCTTTCCATGTAACAAGTGGCTAATGGTATAAATTATCTGATTTTAAAAACCTTGGTTTTCAATGTAGTCTAAAATATATTGATACTTTTGGGTAATACTAAACTTTTCATACTATGAGTTTAATTTTTAACTATAACCACTTCAGAATATGTTTATGGTTTTCATCATTTGGTTAATTTTTTTAAAGTCTTAGCCCATTACGAACAGCCTTTTAAGATGCTAACAAGTGAGTTTGTTCATTTTTTACAGTGGTGAATTTTATTTATGTTGGTAATTGTTTGAATTAAACTTTAGCCAGCTTGTTATTTAGATACTTTTGTTGTGTGTACTATTCGTTAGAATGAGATTTGACTGGTCTTATTTTGTTTAATAATAGAAAAGTTCACTTTTTAGCGCATTATATTTTTGCTTTTGAAAAGATACTTCATCATAAAGGGAGTTGTATACTTAAAATTCAAAACCTTTGATAATTCTCTCTTGATGTGGATAGGGGAAACTATCACTTTCTTAGCCCTTATATTTGAAGAAAATGAATAAAATGTCTCAAGTAGACTTTATAAATCTTGAATGTAATTCTTACATAATAATAAACTTTTCAAGGTAATTTGACTTTTTATTTTTTTAATAGACCATTATAGGCGATTTTCATAAGGAACAGAAAAAATTTGTTGAGGAGCAGCATACAAAGAAATCAGGTATGGTATAGATTTGTTGTACACGACTTACCTGCCAGATTTTATTGAGCACTTACTACATGCCAGACCCCGTGATAAGGCCCTGAGAATACAAAAATGTGAGAGGAGCGGCCTCCATCCTTTGGGTAGCACAAAGACTAGTAGGGGAGACAAACCCATAAACCTTCGGGGTTTATAGAAAGGAAGGCATCATTCCTGTGGCTGGGATGGTGGGTGAGGGTAGCCAGTGATGACCCATCTGGGGAGCAGTACATTTCTTTACTGACAAATGCCTGTTTAAATGTTTACAGTTATAAAATCTCAAAATACCTACTTTTACCATTTGTTAGTGCTCCTCATGTCTTTGAACTTGGCAAAAGTAGGGCGAAATAATTCAATCTGTTGGGTATTGTTACAATTCAAAAAGAATAGTTAGTCATGTAACAAGTTCCCGTCAGGCGTTGTTGTACCTCCGTAAACTCACAGGTATGAAGCAGCTCTTTAGGACAAAAGTATGCAAGTTAGTATAACTTAGTGATTCATGGGAAGCAGTAAATTGGCTTGGAGACCTGGTGTAGGAGCTGCTTGGTGCCTCTGAGATACAGACTGTGAGGGCGTGGGGGTGAAAGGCTTGGAGGCAATTTTAGCTTCGAGGTGCCCGTTAAACAGCCAGGTGAGAGCAGCGTGTACAAAGGCAGGGAAGGGAAGGCAGGTGGCATATCAGGAAAATGTCATTCCTTGGTCACACGTCAAGTGCCCAGTAACCACATGAGACTAGTGACTGCCATATTGGACAGTGCAGATGTAGAACATTTCTATCATTGCAGAAAGTTCTGTTGGTCAGCAGTGCTCTAAATTAATCGAACAGGGTCCAACAGCAGTTCATTTGTTCGAAGCATGGAGGAGAATTCCATCTACAGACACAGATTATTAGTCAAGTTGTGTAAAAACCATGAGAGTAGGTAAGCTCCTTGATGAAAAGTGTGTCAAGCATGAAGAGAGATCAGCGGAGATCTGCAATGTTTAAGGGGAAGGAGGAGCAGAAGGAATTGACAGCTTCTACGAGGCTGCTAAGGGGCGGGCACTTTATACAGGGTGGGGCAAAAGTAGGTTCACAGTTGTTCCTATGGGAAGTACTACAATAGTTAATACAATAATAATACAAAAATAAACCTTGTGTTTTACATACTCACAACTGTAACCCTACTTTTGCTCCACCCTGTACATGACATCTCATTTAATAAAAGGAAAGACCAGCAAGGTTAAGTAATTGCTGAAGGTCGCTCAGCTGGTAAGTGATAAAACAAACCCGCCATCAAAGCCTGCCAACGCCCGTTTACCCAGGAGAGAACAGCTAGGAGAGAGAAGCAACGGAAGGCCAGAGAAGGGAGAATTTCCAGGAGAGCATGGTCCGCTGAGAGGCCCATTTGCAGTGAGTATAAGAAAGGGTACCATGTAAGTGCTCCACGTTCATGTGTTCACTTACCGGTCACAGGAACTCTATGAAGTGCTTGCCTTTATCTCCATTCTGCAGGTGAGGAAACTGGCCTAGAGAGAGAAGAAGTAAGAAGTTGGACAACCAGGAGGTTATTGGTCATTCTGAATAGAGCAGTTTCAGGGGAAGGGGGACGAGGGGGACTACTTTTCCTTACCGGTAGCTTGGGCCTTGGGAGGACCTCATCATCTGAGGAAAGTAGTGCTAGGAGAAGCTGCCCAAGGTGGATACTTAAAATGGAGACCAAAATGTTACAGTAAGTAGTACGAGAAAAAAAGTTTTAGAGGATCTTTACCCTAATATATTTTTAAAGTATCAAATTATGTTTACGTTATAATTAACAGAATTCGGAGTATAATGGCCACCATTTGCTTGCTTAGGATGAGCCAAAGAATGAACTGGGTGTCCATCTGCTCATGTGTCCATCCATGCATGCACATAAGTCTTCTATCAATTGGTACACAATAGGATGTCTACCTCCCATTTCATTCTCGCAGCATAATAGTAAAAGGGATTTTTTCCTGCAAAAATGTGAGGACCCTCTGCTGTGTGTCTTCTGTGCCGACTACCCACCTCCATAGCCTTAGCTCTGCCCTCTTGCCCTGCACCAGGCTCAGACGGTAGAGCTGCTTCCTCTGAACACCCCACCCACCTACATACCCACCTCTGAACTCCTCCTAGTCCACGGTGGACTCCCAAGCCACCACAGAAGCCCCAGGGGACTCCCTCTTCAGGTGGTTGTCATTCGTCATCTGGCATTATAACCATGATGAATTGTAATCATCTCATTTTCTTGTCAGCCCCGGAGACAGACATGGGTGTAAGGCATCTTGGTATTCCTAGCACTTCGCTTCTAAAGGCTCGGAGGATTTGATCCCAGCTTTGTTGTTTATTGCCCCCGATTTGCCCATTACTTTCATTTGCTTTCATTCCTGACAACTCTTTTCTCAATATCTAACCACTTATCTTGCAGCCTCATAACCTTTTGTCGTGAGTCAAGTACAGTAACTTTCTATAAAAACTTTCATTTGGAAATAATATACAGAAAAGTCGCAACCATAGAAGTAGTACAGAGAATACCTGTATACCTTCTACCCATATTGTTAAAGTTTTACAGTTTTAGGAAATTTAATATTGATATAATACTCATATTCAAATTTTGTCATTGACCCAGTAGGGTCCTTTATACATTTCCCCCCTCAATACAGTATTGCATTTTTTGTCACGTCTCTCAGTCTCCTTTAATCTGGAACATTTCCATAGCCTTTTTTTGTCTTTTATGACATAAACGGTTTTAAAAATACCCCCCCTTTTTTAATAAGTACACCATTTCTCATTTGAGCTTTGTTTGACACTTACTTACAATTAGATTATAATTAGATTCAGAGTATGCATTCTTGGTCAGAATACTACATAGGTGATGTGTCCGTCTCGGTATTACGTTCGGAGGCCCACAATAGCCATCTCTCCTTTGGGGATGTTGATTTTGGTCATCTGGTCAAGGTATTGACCAATTTCTCCACTGTATCATTCAAGTAATTTTCTTTCTTTTTTTTTTTTTTTTTTTTACCAAATGCATACATGCATAAGATGTATGCATTAAGTCTGGGAATTCTGAGTAACTCATTAATAAATTTTTTAAATGGTTATATGGAAACTTTCTCATTTTTTCAAACCACAATTGCAGTGTGACCCTTGTAACCGGTTTTATTTTTTCTTTTCTTGGCCGTTACAAACCTTTTAGAAGCAGCAGTGCCCCCATGGGTCGATAGTAACGATGAAGAAACAATTCAACAACAAATTTTGGCCTTATCAGCTGTAAGTATCTTGTGATAACTCTATATAGAAGTACTTTCTTCCTATCACAAGTTTATCCTTAGCAGATGCTTTTCTTCTATACAGTTTTTAAAATCGTTTAAGATGTTAAGGAATGTACATATCAACTTTCACTTTTTTTTAAACTATTAATTTGCTTCTCCGTAAGTTCTTTTTTCTTAATGGAACAGAATAGCCTGTTACACAAAATAATTCTTTCAGCCTTAAAAGAATTCTTTTGTTATTAAGATGGATAATTTTTTGAAATATGCCATGATGCAAAGTTTTTAGACAGCTTTCCAATTCTTCTGAATGAAACGACTATATTCTAAGTTTCTTTTGAACTGCTATATGTATTTGAAACTGAAATTGAAAGAAATATATTCCACGTGCTAGCCCACAGAAATTTCTCTTGGGGCTTCAGAGGGAACGTAGCCCCACCCGTTAATGGGAGTAGAGACTGACAGTTTCAGAAAGCACTTTCACATGCATTACCTCTTTTCAGCCTCACCGCACACGTGCGAGGCAGGCAGAGGCTTTTATCACCATTGTACAGGTGTGGGGATTGAGACTCTCAAACGCGACCCTCACTCACCTGTGTCTCCATTGGGCTGTGAACCCTTAGGGGGGCAGAGACTGGCCTTGACCTCTATTATAAGGACCGAGCATGCTGCCTGGCACAGGACTCAACGAACAGAACGTTTTGCTGTCCGTGGTTTTCAAGTTTTGTTTTTTAACCCCACTTTTTTTGTTTTTTTCCTAAATCAGAATCATAAATGAAGCGTCAGTCTAGACAACAAACAAACTGGACTTTACTTCCATTCTATTGCCCTCCCCCAGGGCAGTTTAAGGTTTTTCTTTCCATTAATAAACCCTTTAAAGGCTTGAGCATCCATTACAAGTTCAGTGTGAACACCATGTGTTCTGTTTACCATGTTACAGCCAAACATGACACTGACGTCACATACCCGCTTATCCCTGAAAGAAGTAGGGACAGTTAGTAATTGTCATTTGAGAGCAAACATCATAAGCTCACTGGTCAGCTCCTCCCAGGCCCTTTAACTACCCCCCGCAAACCTATTCTCCTTATCTTCTCCGAATAGGACTCAGTTTATTCGCTTTTTTTTCTAGCCACAAACTTGGGGCTCTTCCTTGGGTCACACCTTCCCTTCCTCCTGCCCCCGCCCCTAGTCCCGACAATGCTATGTTCAGAATGTAGCCCTAGTCCACTTTGCTGCTGCTACCACTGTAGTCCTGGTGCCATCATCTCCTGCCTAAAGCATCCCAACTATTGTCCCCTCCTTGCCCCTTTCCACTACAAGCTTATTTCAGCAGCCAGAAGGGTCCATTTATGGTGTGAATCACTTCATGTCACTCCCCCGCCGTTGGCTCTTCTAATGGCATCTCATCTCATAGACTAAGATACAAACTTATTGCGCAGCCTCCAAGGCCCTGGGCTTCACTCACCTCTCCTCCCTCATGCACCCCTCCCCGCGCCAACTGCTGGCACTCGAGCCACTGTTTCTTTCTGGTGGACAAGCAGGCCCATTGGGAGGCTGCCATAGAAACCTCGGGCAAACATTGGGGGCAGTTTCAGGCTTTGAAAGTTTTACACTGGAAGGTAAAATAACTAAAATCCATTTAGGCTCAGGTTCTAGCCTAATTACATTAATAGAACTCAGGTTATATTAATGTAGGAATTCTGAAAAACAAAAAATATTTTTAAAATCCAACATGGACAAGATGAGATGAAATCGGTGCTCTAAGTAGCAGCATAAAGTGCTCCAGTCTTTCTGGAGGAGAGTTTGGGCAATATGTACCAAAATAATCTTACTCTTGGGCTAGAAATCTCACTTCTAGGAATTTAGGCTAAAGAGATCACCTCAGAAGAGAACCTTTATAAGAAGAGATTAGGAACAACATGCTGACTACCGAAATGGGCTGGTTAAGTGAATTATGCTCATTCAGTGTAAATGTAGCTATTGGAGATGGGAAGATGTTTGCGACCCTGAGTGAAAAGGGAAAATGGGTGATCCACAGCATGCAGCATGTCTTTCTGTTTAGGTCAAATTATATTTGCACAGGCACTGTATGTATGCAGAGAGACACGTCCAGGACGGTGTTCATTGGGCTGTTCATGGATGGTGGGAGTTTTGACTCTATGCTTTTCTTCTGTATTTTGAAATTTTTAAAAACAGCTGTGTATCCTATTTATAAACAAAATGATGGTTTAAAAAAAAAATAGAGTAGAAACTATCATTCGTCATGGTTTGAGTGGTCCGGACAGCAGCTTTTTGCCTTGGCTGTTATGCTCAGTCTGTAGGAGAGGCAATGATCGATGATCATCGGAGACATCATCTATGTCTCCATTGGAAACATTGATGGAGACAATGTTTCCGCTGATGATGGAGATAATGTATAAAGGGTTTATATACTATCTCAGAGGAATTCCAAGCCACCCTCATTCCCTAGGAAATGTGCCCTGTCCAGGGAGGCTTTGCCTTTGGGTTTTTCCTTTCACTTCCTTCTTGGCTAACTGAAGAGAAGTGGTCCAAGAGCGACACGGACTGTCATGGCTCTTTCAGAGTGGGGCCCAGGCCCTAACGCTACAGCTCAGTGAAAGTCTATTGACTGAACCAACCGTGAACCGTTTCCCCACCTGGCCATGCTCTGCAAAGAAGCCACACCGTGTCTTTCTCAATCACCACCACGTTCCCAGGCCCTTGGTATAGGGACTGACCTGCGCAGCTTCGCAGAGATTTGTCAGGCAGAGCCTGGGCCTCGGCATTCTTTGGAGACGTGTAAGACAAAGGCATGGTCTGTGCACACTTCAGAAGTGAATTGAGTGGTGGATTTCGCTTTTCTGATAATGACCACCAGGGTTAGCTGACTTCAGCTTCAGTTAGAATGTTTCTAGGATCATCTACACTAGTTTTCACATGCCTAATGGTGCCCACTAAAATAAACATTTATTCATATGATTTCAAACTATGTAACTGCAATGAATTGCATGGTTGAATTTCCTGGCCTCCCGCAAGGCTGTCCAATTGAGACTGAAAAATATAGGAAAGGGTGGTCATTCTCTGATCTCTCTTAAGTGGAAAGGTTAACGATAGCTCGGTGGACTTTGTGGCTGAAGTCTTTAGGGGAATTTCAGTATTCATCAAATTAATGACGCATTGTTACATATTAATTGCATTCTATGGTTTTGCCCCTCTTCATCAAAGGACAAGAGGAACTTCCTTCGTGACCCTCCGATCGGCGTGCAGTTTCATTTTGACTTTGATCAGATGTACCCTGTTGCCCTAGTCATGCTCCAAGAGGACGAGCTGCTGAGCAGGATGAGATTCGCCCTTGTTCCTAAACTGTAAGCACTGTGTTCTCATGGCGCTGCTAACAAAATGTGTATATGTGTTTTCAATGGCCTCAGTCGTGTGCACAGTATCAAGGAAGAATTGCAGAATAGGGGCCAGAAGAGACTCAGACTCTTTTCATAACAGTGGGCTCTGTGGCCCTGACTGGTGTGGCTCAGTTGGTTGGATGTCATCCTGCAAAGCACAAGGTCACTGGTTTGATTCCTAGTCAGGGCATATGCCTGGGTTTTGGGCTTCGAACCCAGTCAGGGCACATATGAGGAGCAGCTAATTGATGTTTCTCTGTCACATTGATGTTTTTCTCCCTCTCTTTCTCCCTGCATCCCCTCTCTCTAAAAAAATAAATAAAAAATAAAATCTTTTAAAAAAAAGGCTCTGTGGCCCTTCAGCACCACACACATGTGCGCGCGTGCGCACACACACGGTGCCATTGAATCAAAACTTGAGGGAAATTTGGGGTGGGGTTGAGATGTGCTCTTTCACCTCTAGTTAGAAGGTAGAGTGTGTTTAAGGTCTCTAAGGCCCATCAGGACTGGCTGCTGCCTTCTCTGCATTCTGCCTTGCTCTCCGGTGACAGTGTTGTCCTCTTTCCCATTTTCCTCTGCCCAAAGGCCCTCTCCCCTCCCCAAATGCCTGCCTGTCCTCGAAGTTCCAGCACAAGCATAGTGTCTTCTGTGACATCCCCCTGGCTGCCATCAGCAGTGGCCCCCTTCTCTTCCCCTCTGTTTCTGCAGCCTCTTCCTCACCTTTTCTAATTCCAGTCCCTTTGTTTTGAATCTGTCGCCGACACAAGTGTTCCTTTCTTCTAGCACTCTGTTCTTATTATATGAATGCAGTGTCTTACTGCTCTCTGAGGACATGAAGCATAGTTTTCTTGAGGTAACTCTTTCTCTCTGTTCTTTTCTGTGAATTTTTGTGTTTGCCTTGGGCTCTGTCTCATGTTGCAGGCCTTTTTGCCCATCGTTTGGGTGAGGGCGCCATGCTGAGACATGGTTGGGGCGTGTGTTCCACAGGTCTTTTGGGCCTGTAGCTTCCCTGAGAGGGCTCTTCAGCCTCCCGCCAGGCTGCAGGCAGAATAACAGGGAAAGCCTGGCCCCTGTGGCTTCTGTACAGCGTTACGTCCGCTTTCTCAACTGTACCAGCCCACCGTGCGTGCGCACGGGCTTAGCTCCTACTGGACCCTCAGACTGTGCCGTGGGGGCACACGGGCCCTGGCCAGAAGGGGTGGCAAAGGGAGTTGGGGCCGTCTCTCTGCGCCTTATGGGCCTCCCTGCTGCTCCTCCTGCCTAGAGCCCAGATATATAGTTGGAACAGCAGTTATATAGGATGCTTGCTTTCTTTTCTTATCTTTTGAGTGAAGCTCCTCTCTCATAATTATTAACAACATTTTGGTGGTCAATTACTATTAAGCTCACAAAACCCTGGGAGTTGGCTTTTGAAGAGTTCATCTGTATATGTCTGTCGGGAGCTTTTTTTATTCCAGAATTTGAAGTGGTACCTATTCTGAATAGCTGCTGCTTTCTGCAGTAAGTGCGGCAAAGCTCTGGGGTCCAGGTGTACTTTGTACGCGAAAGCTCCGTCAGTTTGAAGAACTTTGGAATCACCCTGGGCTACACAGTGGGCTCTCTGCCGGTGCTCTGGGGACTGTCCAGAGGCCCTGAGGCGCTGAGACATGTGGCCTCAGGTGTTCGTGGCAGGCATGAATGTCACTGTCCGTAGTTTTGGTTTTTGACAGTTCTGTCTCCCACTCACTCTTGACAGTAGTTTTAAGGTTTTTTAAAGCTTGGACAATTGGTATTTGGCAAATAAAATTTCAGATTTGTTGCTGGCTAAGTAAACTGCCCATTGAGTAGTATAATTCTGATTTCCTACTTAGAATTCTATTAGGGATGCTTTAGAAATTAGGGTTGGTTTGTTGGTCTTTATCTGTTAGAAATGCTTACTCTCTTTATTTATGGATGAAAGGACATATCTGTCATTGCCTTAAAATTTTACAACCTACCCCCAAAGGAAAGCATTGTGTGCAGGGGAGGAGGCATAGATGAAACGTGACTTGCAAAATGGTGGTGGTTCTTAAAGTTAGGTCATGAGCACATGGGCGTTCTTTGTTCTAGTCTTTCCACTTTTGTTGACATTTCCATAATAAAATAAAAAATGAGCCATCACACATTAATGTAGGATTTTTGGACTCCTTCTGACATGCAGAAATGCAACTTTGATCTTTTGAGACACTTTTTCTGAACAGAAGCCATCACTAAGCAGTAATGATTTAGAAAAGAAGACAGACATTTTCTCTGTACTCTGAAATGCCCGTTAGTGTGTTAGTGCTTCCCTGTGATGGCAGTGCTGGCCAGAGGCAGCGCCCTGCCCGTGCAGCAGAGGCCCCCTCTGAGGCCTTTACTCTGGCGACAGTAGGGAAATCACAGGTCCTTCCTGTGACAGTCTTGGACTGTGACATATGCCCATTGTTTGCCAGAGACTGTTCACAGCGTACTAATGCCTTAAAGTAGTCCTTGGAGCATAAGTGGTCGGATAAATGTTTGGGAATTCATATACTGGATGGATTTTTTTATTGTAAGGCTTCTTCAATTTTTTTATTGTAAGACCTTTCGTAGGTCATCTGCATGTGACTTTCTCCAGAAGGTAACCAAATATTTCTGCAGTGTGCCTGTGACCACTTCCTGTTACATCAAGAGGGAGGGGACTCTGGGAAAAGAAAACAATCTGGATGTTTGTTTTTATTAAGAGAGCAAACATTGCCTGTGAACCACTGTACATAGATAGTACACTGTTCATTTGGGACATTTCACAGAGCTCAGAATTCAAAGTGATCTTGAAAATATTCAGGCAACTCACTGCCTCATGGGAAAGCTAATCTCTCTTTTGTATGGCTGTGATATTACAGGTTAAGGCCCCTGGAGAATGCCCCAGGCGTCCTAGTCTCTGTCCCCTCACCCTCCGGGTGATTACCCTCTGAAAGCGAGTTCCCCAGAGTGGATATGTGGTGTTGTCTGATTGCAGGAGAGCACACTCTAGTGAATCTTGTGTGCTTTTTAAGGCAGCCTAAGATTTTGTTAGCTCTTCCAGCAGCTGTAGCACAGTGATATTTCCTACTAAACTTGCGGTTGGCTAGGAGTCTTTACTGCTAGTAAGCTAAGTCTCCTGCCAGACTACTTCCAAGATATGCTAAGAGAAAAAAAGACTTGTGTGGCCACATGAGTTTGGGAAACGCTTCTTGGCACATGGTAAGAACTGAACGAGTAAGAGGCCATTATTGCTGTAACCATCCATGTTGGCAGACAGCTTGTCTTATCCATCCCTTAACCGGCCACCCCCCACCCAGCACCTAGCATGCGGCCTGACTATGCATGTGGCACTCGGAAAGCGTGGGTAGGGTTCATGAAAGGAAAAAAGGCTGCACCTAGCATCACGTCAGCTTATCACCTGGCCTAGTTTGTGGAAATAATCTTGCATTTTGCCTGTCGCACTTTAAAAGCTAGCTTCCTGGCCCAGCTTGGGCAGGCACAGATGTGACGACCCTGTGTTCTGAGGTGCTGTCTAAGGCAAGCCCCGTCCTCATCCGTAAGCCTGGATCTCAGTGTTTTCTCTTAGCTCTCACTGACTTCTGCTCCTTCCAAGTCTTTCTGTCATGCTTTCTTCCTCACTTTCCCCCCATTCTAAGAAACTTCTAATAATCCAGGAGGTAAAGAGACGTTCTCTGATACTCTTGTGATTTCTACTGGCAAAGCATTTTTACAACATAAAATGAATGACTCCTCCAGGCCACAAGGAAAAAAACCCCAGAAAACAAAAAGACAAAAAAATAAAATAAAAACACAAAAAACTCACCACACATATCCTGCAGGTCACCAAAGCTGTTCCTTGGCTGTCCTTGGTTGGGGGAGTGGGAAGGGGGTATATTCCGTGTTTTGGCTGAGTCTTTTGTTTTCTACCCTTGGTACTTTTATTTAATTACTCGGAGGCGAGCATAGTTATCAATGTTTATTATGATTATTTTGAAACAATTAGAAAACTTACAATTAGAAAACAATTAGTACACTGTTCATTTGGGACATTTCACAGAGCTCAGAATTCAAAGTGATCTTGAAAATATTCAGGCAACTCACTGCCTCATGGGAAAGCTAATCTCTCTTTTGTATGGCTGTGATATTGCAGGTTAAGGCCCCTGGAGAATGCCCCAGGCGTCCTAGTCTCTGTCCCCTCACCCTCCGGGTGATTACCTTCTGAAAGCGAGTTCCCCAGAGTGGATATGTGGTGTTGTCTGATTGCAGGAGAGCACACTCTAGTGAATCTTGTGTGCTTTTTAAGGCAGCCTTAAAGGTGAGAAATACAGTCTAAAGAACTTTTCCCCGAGTCATTTGGGACCTGATTGCTTTCGTGCGTAATTTCTGCAAACAGGGATCCTCCTGCATAACCACGATCTGACCATCCTAGTAAGGAAACTATCACTTGTACATTTTTACCATCTAATTCTCAGACCCTATTCCTGTTGTAACCATTTGTCCCAAGAATATCCTCTTAAGCGAAAAGATCCAGTTCAGACTCATGTGTCGCATTACCAACCATCTCCCGCCTCATTGCTGACTCTTTCAGATTGCTAGTTATTTGCAAGCTGCCAAACATTTCCTTTCATAAGGAACAACACCCACAATCCTTTGTCTCACTGCTTGAAAGCACTTAATTCTTCAGTAAACAGCAAATAATTGGTGGACTCCTGGCTCTGTTTCCAGTCTCCCAGGTGATCATGCTGCTTTTCTTCACTGCGGCACCCAGTCTTCCTCTGCTGAGGCCAATGTTGGTGTCATTAAAATATCTAGAAATGCTGAGGCTTCACTGGTGTTCTGTGAGTTTTCTTTTGCTGCTGTGAAGATAGCTGCTCTTTTTATCCTGTGGTTGAGCTTCCATTTGGAAAGCAAATGAGAACCTTCTTTGAGCCTCCCTTAGATTTGCACGTGTCCCTGAAGATCATCTATTCCAGTCTCCATTGCAACAAACAACCCCTCCATGCATCTGTGGGCACGTATGCTTAAGTGTGTTGTTGTCTGTCTTTAAAAGCGTGAAGGAAGAAGTGTTTTGGAGGAACTACTTTTACCGTGTGTCCCTGATTAAGCAGTCGGCCCAGCTCACAGCCCTGGCCGCCCAGCAGCAGGCCGCCGGAAAGGAAAAGAGCCACAGCAGAGAGGATGCATTGCCGCTGACAGGTACGTTCAGAGCGCTCTCTGAAAAACAGAGTTACTTTTAAAATATTCTTAATGTAAAGACCCTCATGAGCTTGTCATCTTGTATGTACCAGAAATGTCATCATCTTATCGAAAACTCTTCTTTCCAGAGGAAATAATCATGCTTCGCTTGTTGCCATCGCCCGCACCTCACTCACCAGTCTCTGCCAGTCTTTCTTTGAATTTGCTATCTTTTTCTCATTCTTCAGGTTTTTTTATTTCTTCCTTTTTATTTGTCCCTTGATCACCAGTCATGTCGCCATCTCTTTCATTGCCTATGTGACTTTTTATGCCTTCTGCCCTCCATCGATTCAGTCCACCCCGTTTGTTTGTTTCTCAGTCTTCCATTCAACCTGATGTGTCCCTAGCGCTGTAGTCTGTAGAGCAGAACTAAGCTCCATTCCGCTCCAAGTTACAAAAACCCAGCTCAGAGCCAGGCACCACTAGATTACACATTTGATTCTTACTGTGACAGTTTACCCCTGGTTATTGGGGAAAGTGTTTTATAATATCAGCAATGATTTAATATCTGAAATAATAATTAAAATAAGAAATGTATTGCCCTGGCCAGCTTGCTCAGTTGGTTGGAGCATCATCCAAATATGCCAAGGTTGTAGGTTCGATCCCTGGTCAGGGCACATATAAGAATCAACCAATGAATGTAAAAATAAGTGGAACAACAAATTGATGTTTCTGTCTCTCTCTCTGTCTCCCTCTTCCTTTCTCTCTCTCTCAAATCAATCAATAAAAATATTTTTAAATGTATTTTATTATATGTTTTCACATTTAATGAATACCTGCTCTGTATAGGTACTATTTACAACTGGAGACTTTTCCATTCATGGAATTTTAAATACGCAAAAACGGTGTGTCCTAAGGTTCAGATTGTATAGACCACTAATGTAATGAAGTTGCTCTGTGCAGTGAAATGTGGCATTTTACATATAGATGTTAATATGAATCCCAAGTGTCTGCCATTCTTTAGTATTTCCTTTTATTAATTTTATTGGAAAATGCCATTTTACCAAATATTGCCTGTGTAACAAAATGGGCTTAAGAAAGGGTTCACTAAACACTGTATGTCTGGTAAGGTTTATAAGATAGCAGATGCAGCTGCAAGAAAAGAAGCTGTGATTGAGCATTCCATTTTACTTTGTACTTCCTAGCATTTGTGAGAAAAGGAAAATTTGCCAAATAACTTAGTTCTCATTATCCTAAAAGAAAGAGCAGAACTATTCTGAAGTGGATTTTGCTAACACTGAAGTCGAAAATTATTTCCTGCTGGGAATCTTGTATAAGGGGCATTGAATATGATGACATATTAAAAATAACCCCAAAAGAAAAAGGTTTGAGATGGTTTCACCTGACTATTTCTTGGAATAACATAAAAACTTAAAGCATACCATTAAAAGTTTATTGCTGCAAATTATTTAGTATCATCATACTTGTGATTTTTTTAACTGTTATTATTATATGTATTCAGAATTAAATCAAGCAATTATTGTCTCTTTTATTCTCACTTCTTAGAGGCAGTACGGCCCAAAACGCCACCTGTCGTAATCAAATCCCAGCTTAAAACTCAAGAGGTAATATAATTTTACATTGTACCTAGTAGTTGCTGTCTGGAAACAAAGTCACTGTGTGTTAACTACCTGAGATACCATTTCAAACAACTTATGAATACAGGTCTTATCTGTTGTGAAGAAGAGGGAGCCAAAACTTGAGTAGTGAAGGACCTACGGCTCAGACTTGAGGCAATTCCCTGGTACAAATCATTCTAGGTGTGCTCCTCCGGGATTGGACAGAATGATTGGAGTGATCCAAATGGGGAGTGAACAGAAAGATTCGGGTTGTAACTCATTTGGTTACCAAGCAACTGTGCAGGTTAGAAGGTTGGAGAGCAGTGATCATTGGACTAGCAGAGGAACGAAATGAAAATGATGCTGCATTAAATTGTGAGATGACATAATCAAGAGGTCTAGCCTATAAATGTCACTGAGGAAACCATTTCCAGACCTTATTTGTTGCATTTCAGGATGAAGAGGAGATCTCTACCAGCCCGGGTGTTTCTGAGTTTGTCAGTGACGCCTTCGATGCCTGTAACCTAGATCAGGAGGATCTGAGGAAGGAAATGGAGCAACTAGTACTAGACAAAAAGCAGGAAGAGACAACCGTACTAGAAGGTACAAAACAAAACAACCGTTCTAGTCCCCAATTCTGAAGTTGATTGTAGAAAGGTGTTATTATGAAGAAGATACACAAAAACATGCTATAGCTTTTGCATCAGAATTTCTTCTCTGTCCACCAGACACATGACTAGACCTCACGCCCTCTGCCCTGAACATTCACAAAAGCATGGACAGGAGAAACTAAGACCCAGTGATGTGTCCCAGGCCTCTCAGTCCAAGCAAATACGGGGAGAAAGCAAATACGCCTTTCATGTGGAGACACTGCCTTCTGGCGCTCTGCTTTAAAAGCTAGCATCCTGCTTAGGTTTATGCCTGTATCTAGAAGCTTCTTTTCCCAGCTGCTGTGTACCACAAGAGCATCGCGTCTGGGAAGGAGCAGGCTGCCTCTAAAAAACTAAAGAATTTAGTGAAAAAGTGCACTGCCCTGGCTGGTGTGGCTCAGTGAATTGAGCATCAGTCTGCAAACCAAAAGGTTGCCGGTTTGATTCCCAGTCAGGGCACATGCCTGGGTTGCAGGACAGATCCCCAGTTGGGAGCGTGCGAAAGGCAACCAGTCGATATTTCTCTCCCTCTCTTTCTCCCTCTTTCCCTTCTAAAAATAAATAAATAAATCTGAGTTGGGTTTTTTTAAAAAAGTGCTAGCAGGGGGTCGCTTTCCTTGACATATCAGGACAAATTATGGGCTTTCTACCGGATGAAAAGCAAAGGCCTGGGTTCATCATCAAATGAAGAGTGTTTCCTGAAGCCTTTGAGACTTCCAGTTTAGGGAGTCAGCTGTTCCCATAGGTTGTGCAGAGAGCACTGGTCAGAAAACTGGCCAGCTTCCCAGAGGCTAGCTCCCGGCTCCTCTGGAGAGCTGTTCTTTCTCTGAAGCCCTGTTCTACTTGCAATTTGGGCCACTTAATATTTTTTTTTACAATAGCTTCCTTGGCCCATCCCAGCTAAACCGTAAGCTCCTCAAAGGCAGTTACACCTTGTCTGGGTGTCCCCACAGCACCTATCATGGAGCCTGGCACCCACTAAGCAATTAATAAATATTTCTGAAATTGGTTGTTATGCAACACACTGTGTTTTCCCTTGAGGTCACTGCCACAAAAAAATTAAAACATTTGGTTTTTGTTTTCTCTGTAGCTACTAAGTTTGTTTAATTTTAAAAGATGAAAATGAATTTAGGCTTTACTTTATAAATAGCTGGTTTGTTTTGTTTTCTCACTATTTTTTAACACTACGTAGCAGATGCCTTATCCTTTACATACATAGGCACATATGAATACACACACACTCTCTCTCTCTCTCTCTCTCTCACTCACTCACTCTTACACTGAGTGCCCAAGCAGAAGTTGCAACTCTCTATCTCAACACAGAACGCCAGTGTGAGAGCTCAGATGGAGCCCCATGCGGGGGACCAGGCTTCGGCAAGAGACTGCCTGACTTCCAGTCCTAGTCTCTCTGGCCACTCTAGGGAGACTGCTATTCAAGTGGTTAAGCACAGACGGTGGAACCTGCAGATCTGGTTCCATCCATATGTCTGTTGCTGTGTGATCTTGGGCAAGTCCCTTAACCTTTCTCCGCCTCCATTTCCCCATCTGTAAAATGTGTGTAATAGTGGTATCTAGGCCATGGATTGTTCTAAGGATGAAAAAAAGAGTGATATGTAGAGAGGGGTTAGTGCAGTGTCTGCCTCAGAAGTGCTCAAGAAATGTTCACTGTTTTTGCTACCATTCTCAGCATTGTTAATTAAAAAATTAATTTGCACCCAAATATTAATTATCAATTATCCCATTAAGTTGAAGGAAAAGCAGAGGCCTAGATAAAGCAAAATAATACCCCATATTTACTGACAATGTAACATCTGATACATTGGTTCTACATTTAACACATTTTTCTTTCTAATCATGTTAGAAAGAATATATCTAATTTCTTGGTTACTCTTAAAATTTGTTCAGTTTTTCTGAGCACACACATGAGGAAGCCTGAGACGTTCAAAATGACCGTGGCTAAGACTTACATAGGTAGTTATAGTTGACTAAATTGTTAAAACCAGCATGATGAATTCAGAGAGAATCTTTTCCTTCTCATCTTTTTCTTTTAGAGGATTCTACAGATTGGGAAAAAGAACTACAGCAGGAACTTCAAGAATACGAAGTGGTGACAGAATCAGAGAAACGAGATGAAAACTGGGATAAGGAAATAGAGAAACTGCTGCAGGGGGAAAATTAACTGCTTACTCAAAGAAAAGAATAGTCCTTAACATCCTGTAACTGACATTAAATTCTAGATGGTAACACTCTGAATCAAAAGGCACAAAAGAGTATAACTTTATGAAATTCAAAATTATTCTTTTTTCACATTGAAACTTGCCTCTTTAAAAAAAATCAAGAGAGCACTTATTCTAATCAAGAAGGGATGTTTAATATTTCTTTAATATAAATCTAGCTAGAGATATTCTTAGAGTCGGTATGGATATCTTATTCACAGAAACACAAGTAAAATTTTAGAATTCTGTTTTCCGTGCGATCAAAAGTATAGTCTTCAATTATGGTTTTCTAAATGTTTGTACTTCTTGTTGCACTTTTGTTGATACATGTACTTTAAAGTATTTAATGAATTGATAACTATCAAAATGACCAAATTGTACCAAAGAACTTAAGAGGAAGCACTTTCGGAACTGTTTTCTTGGTATTTTCTACAATTCCATCTGGAAGCCAAAAGATAAAATAATTATGTTGATTTTAATGGTATAAACATCACACAATTTGACATTGAGAAGTACTGTGCAAAAATATTTTTCTCTGGGGCCTTTTCTTTCGTTTTCATTTGTTCATTTTTAACTATACCACATTTACTAATACTGTTTTCCTAAATTTTACATCATGCCTTTTGTAAAAAGCAGGGTCTGTCATCCTTTTTGTATTAATGATCGTCAAAAGCCTGTTCAACTTAAGTCTCTTGTTGTTTCAATTGCCCTCCACATATAAATAGTTTTGTTTGTCTTCATTAAACTGTTGGTCTTTATAAAATTGTGTTCCTCTGAATACAACTTATGAAACGTCATTGGTCAGTCCTACTTGCATTCTGCTAAACTAGAAGATTTTTTTTAAAAAAGAACAGGGTGGCTTAACTTCCAAGGCATTTGTTTCCCAAACCTTTCATATTTTTCAAGAAGCTTTTATTTCATAAAGGGGGATAGAAGTAAGACAATTATTATAAGAAAAATGTACATATTTTTATTCTTGGCCCCATGAAAATTAGTCTGTGGTCCTCCAACAAAGGTATAGTCAATGAGAGAACTGAGTGTGGGTCCAAGCGTTCATTATTCTTATGTTTGTAGTTTGAGATACACACGTTAGTGAGCCAGACTGCCCTCAGCTAGGATGACTTGTATGGTCGCACATGAACTCATGTGCTCATGAAACCACTGACCCCATTATCAGGAGTCCCCACTGCAGTGCCACAGTTGCAGATGACTGCGTTTGGACTCAGGGATGATGACTGGTAACTTCTGAAATAACCCCAGTAAAGGGGAAGGTTGGTTTGTTTTTAAGAGTTTGCGGGAGGAAAAGAAACATGTTAAGTGCTTTTAAGTTGCTAAAAATCCTAAATGTAAGCAGATCAGGATATGACAGCCTTCAGCTCTTGGCATATGCACTAAAACTCTTATTGATGAATGTTGAATAAATGCCCAAAAAAAGGTTTCAGAGACAGTTAAAAACCTAAGACGACAATAGAAGTATGTTGATTGTTGTTACATCAATTTCACATGATACTCATTGTACTTAAAAACAACCTAATTCTGCATTGCCCCATGAAAATAAAAGGATTAAATAAGACTTTATACACAGCATAAACATAGTTATGCTATATTTTTATGTATTCATCAAGGAGTAAAATGTCATGCTTTTGTAAATCATACGGGTAACTGAAGTGTTATTCCTTTAAAGGGCAAAATAATTTGCAACTGTATTTGGTGGAAAATTTCTAAGTATTTTATTACATGTCTAGGGGTTAGCCAACAAAGTACACCGAGAATAAACACACATAAGCTTCACAGGATGTTAAAATGTGAACATACTTCATCACACTAAGGGGCTAGTACCTCACTACTCATTGCTGGCTCAGGAACCAGCATGAGCGGCCTCTCCTGGGAATTTGTAAGAAATGCAGGGTCTCAGGCCCTGCCCCAGACCTGCTGGCCCAGACTCCAGGTTACCAAGACCACAGGGGCTTACAATGGACTTTAAGGGGTAAGACTCACCAGACTAATGTACTGATACAGCCGAGGATTCTGGTGCTTTTCACCCTTTTTTTAAAAATCTCACCCAAGGACGTGCTCATTGCTTTTAGAGAGATGGGAAGCAGAGATGGGAAGGGAGGGAAACAGAAAGGGAGAGAAACATTGATGTGAGATAGAAGCACCAATCTCTTGCCTCTCACACGCTCCCTGACCAGGAATCAAACCTATGACCTTTCAGTGCATGGGATTGATGCTCCAACCAGCTGAACCACACCAGCCACGGCTGGCGCTTTTTACTTTTTACCCAATCACTAGCATCCTTGGCTGACAGTGTCCCTAGTTACAAGCCCTCCTCTGCTGTTCCAGTTGGTACCCACTGCCTGCTTCCCCTTCTACACCACTAAGCTAAGAGGAACCAAGTTCTCTGGGGGAACACAATCCTGCGAAGTCAGATGTTTCTAATACCACACATTTCAAAGGGAAACAATGACATTATGAAGGACAGAGATAAGGCTCTCAGAAACATTTTACATGGTTGAGACCTTACTCTGAGCTGCTCGGGCAACATCCAAGGGCTAATGTCCCCTGAAGGCTATAAAGGATGGATGGCCTCCTGTGTGGCATGTTTATGCACTTGAAATCAAATAGCAGAAATAGTTAAAAGGTACTAGAGCATCAAACTAAACTGAGTCTTTAAAGCCCGCTTAAGGTGCGTAGAGCACTATTGTACAAGAAATAACAATATCCATTCGTTTACAGTTACAGCAGTTTGTGACAAGCACGTCAAATCCTCAACCGACGCGACCAGTCTTAGCAGGAGGCCGTGTTCTGCTACTGCGGACCTGGTTACAATTTCAGAATCTCCTTATGCTCAAAAGTGGGAAATCTCAACTTGTAACTTGTGAAATAGTAAACTAGAGAAGTTTTCAGGAGATAGAGCAGCAGTTATACTTGTACTTACAGTGCTTTCAGGTGCTCTATAACCAAGATAGTTTTCCACAATCAAAATATTACTACAAATAGGAGTTTTAGAACATATTAAAGGTTTACCAAAATAAAACTGATGACCACATTCAACTTGCAGTATTTTATTCACCTCCTTGACTACTTTGATATAAAAACCAGGACCCTGAACTTGCTTCTATAATTTCATTATTGTGATATGGTTGCTCTTTCTGGTAATAGACTTTTTCTCCATTTTTAAGTAAACATTTTTCAATTATAAAAATTGGGTGAATTTTAGAAAATTTTGTTTTCAGCATTTAAAAATACAAATGGTAGAAATTTTGACATAGTTTATGTAATCACTTTTATTGGGGGGCAAACAGGCCATTTTAACAAACAATTGTTTCCATAGCCCGCGTTAAGAAAAAAATTACAAACTGCACGTTACAGTACCCAATAATGATGATGCTTAGGGAGAAAACGAATGAGTCCTGACAGATGACAAATATATATTCATCAGGCTTTAATCATATGCAATAATATATTTCTCACAAATCAAATTATATGGTCTTCACATTAAGGGATTTGTTTAGTAAAGGCATTTATGATTTCAGTTGTTAAACTATGATTTCTTACAGTATTTATTCAGTGCATCCTGATTTATTTCCAATATCAAAAACTATGTTATACTTTATTCTGAATACATAAACATCACTTTTAGTGATAAGATATGTTACAATGGTTTTTCCTAAATAACTAAAAATTCTATTCTGGGAAAGAGGGCCTACAAATATTTCAAAGTTATCTGGTATGTAAGTTCCTATTGTTAGAATTAAAACTGCCTTGAGATAGTGGTAAGTCTTAAGAATACATTTTACTTTCATTGTAGACTTCTACTCAAATGCAGTGGGTCGTCCATAATAAAAGGTCATTCTAAGCCACAGTTGATAGGTCTTTCACTTAGACTTACTATGGGATTATTCCCTCCTCCAGAGGTGATGATAAACAGGGGTGGGCAAAACTAGGTTTACAGTTGTAATACAAATAAATAATACAGTAATTAATTAATAATACAAAAATAAACTTTGTGTACTCACAACTATAAAACTACTTTTGCCCACCTCGTATATTGATCTATCTTGTTCTTTCCTGCTAACCACGATGAGCGCTGACTATGCTTTCTGCTGGCCAGAGCTGAAACTCAACAAGGTTAACCAGATCTTATAAGAATTAAGCTTGTTTTCCTTTTTTTTAAAAAAAAAATTTATTTATTTTTGAAGAGAGGGGAAGGGAAGGAGGAAGAGAGGGAGAGAAACATGAGTGAGAGAAACATCGATCAGTTGCCTATTGGTGCCCTCAACTGGGGACCTGGCCTGCAACCTAGGCATGTGCCCTGGCAGGAATCAAACCTGCAACCTTCCAGTTCACAGGTCGGTGCTCACTCCACTGAGCTACACCAGCCAGGGCAAGCCTGTTTTCTGTAAAGCTGGAAAATAAGTCTGTGAACTAGTAAGTAGAGATAATAGTTCAATTCATCATAATGGAGAATTTTTGTTACTGCTAAAGTATCTACATCATAATCATCATAATAGCCATTAAGCGCCTCATTTTCTCTGCCATTACTGCACTTCGACACATCTGGATGGAATAAAATGGCCACATCACTCGATAACTGTTAACTCTTTTGAGGAGATTACTTCAGGATATAAATGTGATGTGAGAAGTGAGCTAAATCATATGCCCCTATCAAGAATACAATATAATACCACTAGCAAAATAAGTGTAAAGTGTTCTTTGTAAATCTAATTAACAGAATGCATGCTTGTGAAATGAAGGCATGAAAATAGACACCACTCAAAATTTAGACAGCACAAAAATAATTTCATAACAAGAACATGGGATGGCGTGTTGCTGTCCACATTACCATGCTTTTCAGAAAGGGCTGAGTCAGTGAATCTCGTGGCCTAAGGCAGTGATCCTGCACTTGAGAACTACCTGGGAGCTTTAAAAAATGCTGAAGCCCAGCCCACCCCCAGAGGGACTAATTGGCCCAGAGTTTAGCTCTGAGCATGTTTAAAAAAAAAATTTTTTTTTTGTGGAAATCTTTTTTTCCTTTGAGAGAGACACAGAGAGAGAAACATCAATTTGTTGTTTCACTTATTTATACATTTACTGATCGATTCTTGTATATGCCTTGAGCGGGGATCAAAACTGCAACCCTCTCATATCAGGACAATACTCTAACCAACTGAGCTACCCGGCCAGGGCTTGAGCATAAGATTTTTTAACAAACTCCCTAAGTCATTCAGATGGGTAGCCAGGACTGCAAAATGCTGGGCCCAAGAGAAAGAGGCCTGAGGAAAAATCAGGTTTGCCTGAGCAAGGTAATATTCCACCAGGGAGTGTGCATATGCTTCCTTGTAAAAATGAATAAGTGGCACTGCATTTTTTTAAGGTCCACCCCATGTCCTAAATATCCTATTTTAAGAGGCCTTTGTAAAATAGGTACTATTTTTAATTGTTTTCATTGTTTTTAATCTTCCGAAATGTGAAATATCTTAGACTTGCAGATTGAATGCGGCAGATAAATGCACTTACATCCACTCCATCCACAAACCCCACTAAATTAAAGGTATAAAAAGAAAAGATATAAATTCATAATAATGACAAAAACAGGAGAGCAAGTAACGGCAGTCGGATTGTTACAAAGACATTTTGGTGCTTCAGAACCCTGGGAAGGCTCAGGAAACATTGTTATCAGGGTGGGCAACTAGCAGTCTCTGTCACAATTTAAAACTGAAATTCAAGGAAGAGCAGAAGTAAGTAGTTATGAGATGTAGAAGCAAACAGATGAAACTGTTAAGAGTTTAAAATGGCAGTTCCT